AGACGAGAAAATCGACTAAATAGCCGATACACATAGAAATCGGCTGTTACGAACTGTAAAGCTCATGGATCGCGATTGATTTTATGTTGATAAGTACAATACACGCAGATTTAAGTAAAATCATCAGCTAGGTGTGTATTACCAGTGTAACACGTTGAGCCAATGAATCTAACGAGAAAGGATATAACATGCGAATAAATCGACTGTTTAGTATAAATGGACCTACAAACGCTCTGAATCTAATCTGTTACCATCAACAGTGAGGTTCGACCGGATCGATGGCAGCTATGATGATAATAATAAACCAAAACCGAAGAATCCGTAAAACCATCTATACATTGAGAGGCTTTCCAAAAGACACGCTATATATATGGACGCTCAGGCACATCGGCTGAAATAGCCGATTCAGGTGAAAAGAGACTATAACATGTGAACAATCAACTTATTTAACATGGATAAATCTATAAACTCATTAGACTTAACCTGTTATCTCTAACAGTAGGGTTCGATCGGATCGATGGCAGCCGTGATAAAAGACAATCAAATCTTTAAAGTACATAGATCTATTCGTATTTAACAGAATCATGGAGACACGTTGTAGGCGTTAAAGTATAGGCGATCGGCTATTTAGCCGATGCAGACATAACAAACAATTAAGGTCACGCCTGATCAAGAACAAATCTACCAACTAGCATCCTCCGATCTAAAGTGCCATCAGTGGGGATCGATCGGATCGTTGCAGCCATAATAGCGAACTATGGACCAGATTTAACCAGCCAGTAAACCTCTTCAAGATCATACGTGCCTTAACCATGTACTATGCATGATCAAGATCGAAATAGAACAGCCGATGAAACGTAACCCGTCGCTCAAAGTAGAAAACATCGTATTATAACAAAGCAAACGACGGACTAAAGGAATATGAGGCCGATCTAGATTGATCTCGACCGGGTAGATTGATGTTGCTAAAAATTAATGGCAATAAGAACATCAGCAAGATCGGTAACTTAATGAATCTACCCGAAGGATGCCACCCTTAGGTAGAGTTGATAACTTGACCTTAATCTAATTCGAGTAGTGGAGGTCGAACTTAACCGATGCAGTCCGTACTTGAACTATATAAGAGTCGATAACTAGCTTATACTAGAGTTCACAGTGGATGTCGAACTTAACTGATGCAGCCGTATAAACAGAAGTATAAGCTATGACGGTACTTATAGACAAGCTGGAGGTCGTCTGGACCGATGCAGCCCTGCTTGTTGAAGAACTCGCCGAGATCTACACTACTTCCTACTCCTAAGGGTTGGCATAAAGCCAAAAAAAGTAACTTATATTGATTGATTGGATGTCTCTTTTATAATAGTCGGGGTCCAATATTTATACCCGGAACCTAAGCATGAATCCTAATCAAGTACGACTCATTACGATCTTTGATATAAAAAATATTCCTAACTTAAGATAATTTGGACCCTAATCTTTCCTTTTTAGAGTCCGACATGTATTTTTCGATGCTAACCGTAGCTCATTGTCGTTATCTGCTGACGTCATTCGAAGAGAGCCAATTTCAGTGCCACATCTGAATCAGCTGATATCGATCTTTATGCAATCGATTCCTTGATTGACACAATCTTGGAAGCTTCGTTCTTCTTTCCAAATTTTGGTGTAAACAGACCGCCATTGTCATCTCCATGTATAATGTCATACGGAAGTAGTATGTCCTGAATAAAAATTAGCTTTTAGAGTTATTCTAAGTTATTTTCTATAAATCTGATTAACTATGGCTGAAAACATTGTTCCGGCTGAATTGTTGTGAGAGAAAAATACTGTTCCGACTAACAAAAGAAGTCGAATAAGCCAGATTATAAGGTAAGCCGAACAGGGCTAATATAAAACAGTATCAATATTTATGATATTAAATAACTATATATTATAGAAATATATTTAATATTTAATCTAATGATACTAAGTTTATGTCATGGGATATTATTTTTGCTTCAGACTTAGGGTAACTATGGAAAAATATTTATTTTTGGAACAGATGTAGTAGCACCACACCATTCATGTGCCCTTCATTTTGCTTTCTTCAACGACCTTTGGGCAAATAGAGTAATATAAGTTATAAAAAAGCCATATAGGCCCTTTATGCTAAACATTTTTTCATCTAATTTGGGACTTGGTAATAAATCATATAGTAGTACTGATAAGAGTAAGACCATGTTTGGATCACCTGACTAAAGCTTAGTCCGCCATTGGATAATAGGCTAAATGTGGACTAATTAAAGTTTTATTTTTTCTAATAAGTTTTGTTCATCAATTAGCCTCTATTAGTTTCTTCCATACTATGATCAGTCCATGTTTAGACCTTCTATTTGGTATCTAAAACATGGACTAAACTTTACTTTAGTCCATCCAAACACCCCCTAAATTTGCAATAACTACTCAATGTTAAAAGACAATATCTATATTATGACAGAACAAAATAAACTAAAAGCAAAATGAAACTAGTATGATTACCTAGAAGCGAACTCCAAGGACAGATGCTTTGCGATCCAACAAATTGATGTTCTCATTTTTTTTTTCGTTTCTCAACACCCAACAAATGCTTCTCAACAATATTCTAACATCTAAAATTCTAAAGCAAAATAAAAACCACAAATATATTCAATGATCTATCTAATGATACTAATTACTCTTCAGGGAGTAAGAATGACTATTAAAAAGCGAGTAAGAACGACAATTAAAAAGGAAATGAGGGAGTATATTGCAGGGCTTCTCCAGTCCCACCTGATCCGCCGGTTTGAGGTGAGTTTATTTTTCATATTTTGAGGGCGATTCTGGTGTATTTTTAGAGTTTTATGATTTTAGGGTATTCTCTGGTGTTTGTCTGATCAGTCTGGGGAATCTATTTATTCAACTTTGACACAGTTGGAAAGGGATAGCTTGATGCTGGAATTTCAGTCTGCGAGGAATGGAAAACCACGGGATGACATTGAAAATGTAAGTGAGTGATATATATATATATATATATATATATATATATATATATATATATATATATATATATATATATATATATATATATATATATATATATATATATATACCCTAAAAGGATGCGGCAGTAGAGTGAAATGATGCGGCAGAACTTCTCCAATGATGCGGCAGTATTATCTTACATTAGCCATAGTTCTTTTCCATTTAAGGCCCTGTTTAGTTTCTAAAAATTTTTACCCTAAAATGTCATATCGAATCTTGCGGCACATACACGGAGTACTAAATATAGATGAAAAACAAAACTAATAGCACAGTTGGGTGAGAAATCGCGAGACGAAACTTTCGAACTTAATTAGTCCATAATTAAACACTAATTATCAAATACAAACGAACATGGCTACCATAACCAAAACCAAAAAATTTCGGCAAGTAAACGCGGCCTAACTATTCCGGTAGTTCCTGAACTTTTGCCTCAAATCAGTACAGTACGCTTTCACTGGGTTAACAATTAACATATTCCTTTTTTTATATTCTTACCGTTAGTGTAGCCCCACAGGAGCAGCAGGCTTGCAGCCTGAGTGGGGCTGCCTTCACCTCAATCCGTCAGATTTTGCAAGAAACAGAGCAGCAAGCCAGCAAGGGACACGCACAGGCACATGCTCCCTCTGCCGAGTGCCGAGCGGCCCCCCCCCTGTGCATGCCAATTTCATGCACAAAAAAATGTTTGTCCGAAGCACGCGGGCGAACAGTACCTCACATCGTCGCCCACAAAATTGGAGCAGATTCCTAGGGTTTGGAACGTTTAACAGCGGGTAAAAAATGGTCGGACGAGAAACCCGCGCATGCAAATCGTTTTAACGGATTCATTTGGCTTCAGGCCCGTTTAGTTCCAAAAAAATTTGTGATCTTCATCACATCGAATCTTCACAAGACACGTCGTGGAAGAAAGATTAAATGTAGATTTAAAAAAACTAATTAACTGTTTGGGTTAAGTGAGAAATCGAGAGATAAAACTTTTAAACCTAATTAGTCTATAATTAAACACTAATTGTTAAATACAAACGAAAGTGCTACAGTAGCCAAAATCAAAAAAATTTGGATCTAAACGGGCCTCAGCGCTGGCTGCTGCGGCGGGGGCTTTTGCAGAAACGGGAGAGGGACCCCGTGACCAGGCCCAGCCCTCTCCTTCGGAAGCAAAGCGCATTGATTGGAACCTGTGACGCTACACGGGCACGGTCCAAAGCCACCGGCGTAGCTGCATCCGAGCGCAGGGATGCGAGCGATGCCGATACGTGTCGCATGAGCGACGCAGCGAAACGTGCAAGCGTCCTGCGGCGTCAGTCTGCTGCAGCCTTCGCTGTGGTGTGGTCGGCCACCTGCTCCTCTCCGTTGAGTGAATGCTGGGTCACGCAGGATGACAGCACTGTCTGCCCCTTCCTCTGCATTGATTGAACGCCATGAACGCCCCGACGCCAGCAAACGGAGACAATACAGCCCACCAATGAATACAGACTCCGTTGGGCCCATAACTTCTGCAGCACCATTCCTTTAGAAATCAAGATCAACAAAACAAGAGCAAGACCACACTTGCTGCTGGGCCGCTGCCAATGCCATTCGTCTTTGAAGTATCAAACTTCGACAGCCTCTTTACGTCCTTCCGTGTTGATAGAGAGAAGGATTGGCAAAGAAAAAAAAAATCCCTTCAACAGCTTCTTCAACTAGATCTATAAATATTACCATTCTGTATCCTTGATTTCTCGCTCGCCAAAGATACAGAACAGAAATGTCTCACCAAAGTGCCAAACAACAAATAGAGAAGAAGTTAGAGGGTGAAAAGATAATAAGAACTATTTAAAAAATAAGAATTTAGAGAGTGGTTCAAGAAAGACCGTGGGAGTCTGGGAGATGCTCTCATGAAACAAACTTTTACTTACCACAAACCGCTTTACTGATGGAAGATACAGTAGGACATCATTTACAAAGGTTTCAAAAGATGGTGGAAAACTTCACTTGCAGGCTAAGCCATAAACATGAGGGCTAATGATGTAGGCATTTGACAGTCGGACACTGTCCAGGCTCAGGCTCGAGAACCCAACATCTCTGATGCTCTGTCCGGTTTTCCTGGTGAGGTGGCATCCGTCAGCTACAAATTGCTGTAAGGGATCAAGCGCGCCTTGAACAAATTGGAGCAACGTACCATCTGTGCCACGCACAGAAAGCAGCAGCTGAATCAGTAATGTGCGGCAATATAAATGTAGTAGAGAACGAAATATCAACCACCAGCTATGACAACACTTTGACGGTGCTTCTACGCTTTTGGAAAAGCTAATTAAGTACCACAAATATTTATTCCCAAAAAAATACCACAAATATTGAAAAAGCGCTATTAGTAGCAGAGTGGTAAGAGAAGCTCTTTTGCTGGTTAATCTGGAGTACCTGGTGGGGCAACATGTTCAATGAACACAGAGACCATCGGGCTTTAAGACTCGCTTTATTTCTGCACAGAACCATGGCTCATAGTTGTTAAAGGTACAAAATAGTAGGCATGATGGCATTCTGTTGCAAACAAATGGTGCAATGAAACAGAAGCACGCAGATGAAATACAAGAATTGACTAAAGTTACTACTACTACTACTACTATAAAGAATCAGGTATCAAGTGTATGTTAAGTTTGTAGAAAATAGCCACAACAAGGGATAATGTATTGCATTTTATCTGTATTTCCATATTGCCAAAACAAAAGTGAGCCTCTACATGTTGATGCGATTCGAATAAAGGAAATAGCCATCATTGTCCTGGCTAATGAAGTTTAATTATTACCTCTCAGTGCCATGTCGATGTTATTTACAGAGCACAATACCAGTGTGCCAATCACCGCATCCATCGAATTGTCTTCCGCTGGCAAGGCTTCAGCAACCTAAATAGAATTGTGCATCAAATGCAGTTGTTATATTTAACAGGAAAACAAAGTTAGATTTTCGCAAAAAAAAAAAAAGAAAACAAAGTTAGAATGTGAAAATGGACAACAACAATACCCCTCTTCTGAATGTGAAGCTTGATGACCGGAGTCCAGCAGACACTGCAGCTGTCCTTGCATAAGTCTCCATGTGCTTGTTAGGATCCACTCCAATTACATTAACCCCATCTTGACTTGCATAGTATTTGAAGTTAGGCCCTGCCCCAACACCAAGCTCCAGAATGCTCTTTCCTGCAGGCGACAGTTGAGAAAAGAGCTTTACTTTGTATCCTGCAATCTGCAATCTTCACCAAGTGAACGGTTTAGCCTGATTATGACTACGACATGGTTATTTAGTACCGATGCACTTTTGTTCTTTGAGCCTGTTCGCTGGTTGGTTTATGGGCTGATAAGGCCGGCTGGTGCTGGTTTGTTGTGAGAGGAAAACACTGTTGGCTGGCTGATAAGCCCTGGCTGAAACCAACAAGCGAACATGCTATTTGAAATAGCAAAACACTAGAGTCACTTTTGATGGGCATTAACAAGTTTAAACAATAGCAGCATGACTGCACTGAGTGTCAATCTCCTTTCTTTTTAACAGATCTTAAATATGGCATCATATTATTCCAGTACTCCTAATCAATCATTGACAATTTGGCATTAACAAGCATCGAAAGTAATGTTCCACACTAAGTTGCATTATGTGCAGATATAGAAATAAGTATCTGACATTCAAACAGATATGTGGCAGATTAATAGTGGTATTATGTGCTGTCTGCACTAAACCCAGTCATCCTCCCAAGTTCCAACTGCTAATTATAATCTCCTAAGAGCTGGCAGGGTCGCAGGGATGCTTTGCAAACCTATTCTCATTGTCACAACTCACAAGACTAACTGGTTAGCTTTGAGTACATGGTTCATTTATTTTGATTCAATTGGTAACTGGTAAAGCAGAATCATAACTAGAGACAAAGCTGCATACCTCTGCTTCGTATGACTTCATTCCCTGATCCATGGCCGAGGCATAGAACTCCTCATACCAGTCTGGCCTCGACGGGTGCACTCGCTGGAGCATCACCTGCCCAACCAAGTAAACCAAAAGTGGTTAGGACGCGCTACTACTAGTACTAGACGTATAGAGAACGTAAACGAGGGGCCATAAGGAGCTCACGTCGGGGTCGATGGGCGGGGCGGCCGGAGGAGGAGGGGCGAGGAAGGAGAGGAGAGCCGCAGCCGAGGAGGCACCGATGACGTGCCGCCGTCCACAGCGGCACGGGAGGGCGGCGAGGGTTCGGCACCGGCGGCGTACAGAAGGCGAAGGCCGCCGCCGGCCGGCGCTATGCATCGGTGGTAGCGCGACCAGGCAGAGCATGACGGCGTCACGGTTCCGCTGCGCACCCAATACGATCGGCAGCCGGAGACCTAAAATCTATCTACACGGGACACTTTTTTTTTTTACCTAACAGGCACAACTCCTATACGAGTATTCTCTCTCCTTAAAATCTATTTACAGAAATAATTTTTTTTTTATTTTGTTGTTGGAGAAGATATCGAATGGGTATCGAATATTTTACCTGTAGCGCTACCCAAACTGTTAAATATGTCTTGTATTTTAGGTATTGTTGTTGGAGATAGTCTAATCCGGAGCGCACGTTGTGTGCGTAACCCAATGCTGAAAGTATATTTAGGTTGGGAAAAGATCTACATTATCTCCCTCAATTTTTACAAAAGTCTGTTTTTACTTTCTAAAATCTAAAACCGGGTAAATCATCTCCTGAACTTTTAAAACCATTCATTTTACCTCCGACCGATTATAAACGGTTTTCAAAGAGCGGTTTTGTCTTGTTCTTTTTTATTTATTTCTGCTGAATCTTTGGAAATCATAGTAAATAAAAAAATCATAAAAATAAAAAATCTAATTTTATTTGATTCCACGTGAGTAGATCTATCACAGTGAATATATAATGTAGTATGTTTTAGTATAATTTTTTTTGTTGTAGCTTTAGATTTATAATTTTCTATAATTAATTCATAGTTGCAGTTTCTATGGTCTAATTGTGGTAAAATTTTTATGGTAGGTTAATTATTGTATAGCAATATATCAGGTGTAAACTAACCAACTTATATAAACTTAAAATTACCGATCAAGATCACTAGATGCTGTGGCAGGTACCACAGTCTGGTGTGGGTGGGGATGAGTACATGCGGCTTGGAGGGAGCTGCAAATTTTTGTACATACGAGATCGGATTCAGATGCCTGATAGATCATACAGCCTGTTCGACAGAGCGTAAACGATCGTGGATTATTTACTGCTAGCTGATTTGGTGTGAGGGAAAAATACTGTTCCAGCTTATAATCCAAAATCGTATAAGAGCAAGCGAATAGGCTATAGATGTAGAGTTTCCATTCTCTGAAACATGTACGGAGTCTCCTTTATTGGGTCTTTCTTGTTCTTTGCGCGCCGTGCAGAGACTTCCTAGCTAGGCAGGTGAGCCATTTTGGTTCTCCTACGAGAGCAAGCCGAATCTCTCCGGCACAAGCTTCTGAGCAGTTTAGAACAGACTAATCTTAGGGGTGTTTGTTTCTTTAAGTCGTTTTTAAAATTCATGTCATATCAAATATTTAGATACTAATAAAGAGTATTAAATATAGATTAATTATAAAATCAATTATATAGATTGGAGGCTAATTTACGAGACGATTTTTTAAGCCTAATTAATTTATAATTAGCACATGTTTATTGTAGGACCACGTTGTCAAATATGGACTAATTAGGCTTAAAAGATTCGTCTTCCAAATTAGTTGTAAGTTATGTAATTAGTTTTATAATTAGTCTATATTTAATACTTCATGCATGTGTCTAAACATTCGATGTGGCAGAAATTTTAGGAGCGCTTGTAGAAACCAAACAGGCCCTTAACTAGTAGGGTTCTATGTAGCCTAATGCTTTCTTTCATTTGAAAATGTTGGGTGTTTTAGGCCACTTTCCTCCAAATGAAACCTCATCTCGCCTTGTTGGTGAGCAACGAGAAGCCTTAGATATCCAAACGAATGACACGGATTGGCCCGTCATGGGCCCATGAGACCGGCCCACTTAATGTCAGGTCAGGCACGACCCAGTTATTAATCGTGCCGTGTCGTGCCATCCATGGGCCCAAGCATGACACTAAACTAGTTAAACATGTCGTGCCAGTCCGACTATAGTTCAACAAAGCAGAGAAACATAAATTTCATATCAGGAAGTTCTTAGTATCTTCAAATCCATCATCCATCATAGCTCATACAAATAGAATCAAACTAGCAGCCAATATAAATAGAATGAAACTAGCAGCCAAATCGAATCGAATCTCAGAACCGAGGTGCACCACCATTGCAGCCTCCATGGGGAGGCCATGGTTGAGACGCCACCACCTTCGCGTGTGGGCTGGGGGCGCGGCGCTGCAACCTCGCTGCTCCGACCGGGGGGGAGTCGCTGCTGGTGTTGGCCAAGATGCTCTCACAGGAGGTAACAACGGAGGGAAATGAGAGGAATAGAAGGCGACAGTTGTGGAATTGAAGGTTGGGACGATGAGAATATATGAGGTATCGGGCCACCGATAATAAAGTCATCCCTGCCGGGGTAGCAGCCCAGGCACAGGCGCACGGCCCAGCCATCGGACTGGGTCGGTACGAGCACGATGGCCGTTGAGTCATGCCGTGCCTAGGCTGTGCCATGCCCATGGGACTGCCTTGTGGCCTTCTGTACCAAAAACTTTCCTAGGTAGGTGAGCTATTTTGTTTCTGCTGCGGGCTTGCTTGGAGTTCTCGCTCAACAAGGCGACAAAGTGCTGGGAGAACAAACCAATCACGTTGCAGGCTGGGGCGGCCGCAGGTGTGGCGAAGTTTTTTTTTTCTACTTTCTCTTAATGAAATACGTGCTAGACGACACGTTCGAGAAAAAAAAAAGTTTTTGGTCACCACGGTTTGTGGCGGGATTTTACTCTGTCTTTGCGTGGCCGCCTCGTTTATAACGCCAACCAAACGCTCCCTCCTCCGATTTCTGTGGCTCGCCTAACTGTGGCGTGGTGAAGCGTGTCCAGAGACCAAACACACTCTTAGTTTTGTCCTAAGAAAAATTTATCTAACTTTAACCATGGTTTATTGAAAAACATACGAACATCTATAATGATATCAAATAAATGTGTAATCATACATATTTAAAGGTGATGCAATAAAACTAATTTCATGATGTAGATATATGTGTATTTTTTAATAAAGTTGGTCTAAACTGAAGAAGTTTGAATTGGGAAGAGTTAAATTAACACACGTTATCACATTTTGGAAGGAAGGAGTATAAGTTAAAGACTTTCGCACACCAAATTTTGTTTTCATTTTAGCATGTTCAATTTTTTTCACCAATCATAGTAAAAAAATAACACCATTAAATTCTAAAATAAATTCAGAAAAATAAGAGCACCCACATCTAACTGAGAACTTGAAAGGCAAGTTACACCATAGAGAACCCAATGCTCAGTTCGCGAAACTACAGGAACTTTAGCATCCACTCAAACCTTTTGGTAAAAATCTTACATTTTTCCTACAGTCCATCCAAACGATTATTTCTTTTAAATTCCTATGTTTTTTAATCCTTTGTTTTGTAACCGCATTCTGGAACAATTTGTATATTTTTCTCATTTCTATGTTTTTACTTTCTAAGCCAGAGTTCAGTAAAATTCGTTGGCGTGCAACCATCGCTCATCGGCAGCTCAAAATTTCATGGCTCTGATTGCGAAGCCGTGCATCGGAGACGCTGCTACCCTCGGTCGTAGTACCTCGTAAGCCGTACGTGACCGGTAGGGGTCCGGCCCGTCGTCTGACTTCTGGCCACTCGTCAGCGTTGCAGGCAGAGCCTTCAGCCTTGGTCCTTGGTATAATTGGCCATCGGGCCAGCCCGGCTTGGCACGGGCCAGGCACGGCCCGGAGGATGTTGGGCCGGCACGGCACGCCGTGCCGCTGCGGGCCTCGTGCCTTGCCATCGGCCCCAGCACGGGCCTGTGGGTCTAAATTCGTGCCGTGCCGGCCTGTTAGGCACGGCCAAATCACCAGGCCGTGCCAGTCCGAGGCCCGTAGGGTTCAAAACACATAAAAATTCATCTCAACAAAAAATATTCAAATTTGAAGTATTTTTTTCCCAGAAGAGCTTGAAACCAAAACCAAAACCATACACATAGAGAACAAGAGAAAATTAAAAGAATAACTGAGCTGTGTGCAATGCTGCCTCATTCAGAGACGACGAGCACCCAGAGTCCAGAGAAGACGACACTCAGTCAGCAACGACGGCGGACGGCGGAGGAGGGACAAACAGAGACAACCAACTCACATAATCAACGAGATCTAGAGGGGAGATAGGGAGCGGGAGAAGGGAGAGGCAGGGACGGAGGGAGGACGCCGGCGGGAGGCGGATCGTGGTCACCGGAGTCGGCGTCGGAGACGACGAGGCGTCACTGGCCACATCGTTTGAGAGCGGCGCGGCGGCTGGTGGTGGTGGGATGCGAATGGGCGAATGGGGAATTGGGGATTAGGGTTAGGTTACGAGCGGGAGTGCGGGACTGAGGGGAGGCCGGGAGGGGAGCGCCTCATTGGCCGCCTTTTATAGGTGGGGTCTGGGGTGGCGGCGTGGGGGGAGCCGTTGGCGAGTTGGGCTGCCTCCCTCTCGGGTTGCTAGCGGGCCTCCTCCAAAACCCCGTGCCGGGCCGTGCCAGCCCACGGGCTCAACTGCCGGCCCAGGCCAGCCTGAGCCGGTGGCCTACGGGCCGGGCTGGGCTCGTGTCGGGCCAAAAGGCCGGGCTTCGGGCCGGGCTGCCGGGCCTCCGGCTGCATGGCCAGGTATAGTCGAGAGGATATGATCGGAGCCAGTACGCAACTCAGCTTCCTTGCTCTGGCTGCATCGGCGCATCGCCTTCAGCGCACGGCGAGGCCATACACCCATACTCCTACGCCTTTTTCTTCCAGGCCCCCGGCGCGGCCCGGCCCCCGCCGCTGCATGTTTCGGCGCACCGCTCTCCGCTGCATGCGTGCGCCGTGCGCGTAGCTGCCGGCGAGGCCTGCAGGCTGCAGACGCCAGACGGTGCATGTGTAATGTACCTGTACGCCTCTGAACTGTCTGTGCCGAGCGGCGATCGATGCTGTACAACTACAGTTCTAGTTTGCCATGTACAGTACGATACACAGAGTTCTGTAGTTGCACAGTTGTATTCCGATCTTAACCGAACTGTAAAGCAGCGTCCTGTTTGTTTGGTTTATAAGTCGTATTTTTTCAGCCAATAAATAGTATTTTTCTCTTACACCAAATCAGTCCAATAGTATTTTCAGCCATGATTTATCAACCAAACAAGAAGATGGATGATATCGTCGTACCCAATCATTCGTTATCTGAACTAAAATGTGTTGGACAAGTCATTAAGCATTGACGCAAACACTGACAATGCGGTGCTACCGGACAACTACACGTATCTGTAAATAACTTTCTTTTATTATATTAATGACATGCATTAGGGGTGCACTCCCCTCCTGTTTCCCTTTAAAAAAACTGTATGTGTCCTGCTATTGCACTGCAGTAGCGCAGTTCATCCAGGCGTTTGGGCCATATACAGACTTGAGCAGGACAGTAAAGAGGTCTGAACTTATTTGCTAACGAAGTTCAGATAGAGAACTGATTAGTAACACCCGTATAATCACTTTGTGACTACTTCCTCCAGCTCCCTGAGGCCCCCAACCCTCTGCTCAATCTCCTCGAGCAGCTCCTCCCTTAGCAGCTCCTCCCTCGCAGACGCCTCCAGGTCCTCTTGCTGCCAATGAACATCGCACAAGACTGATGTCAGTAAAGGCCATGTTCGTTTTGCTGAAAAGCCATGGTTGAAAGTATTATTCACTGATTTACTATGAGAGAAAAATACTATTTGCTGAAATAGTACGGCTCATAAGACAAGCGAATAGGGCTAAAGTTATCTGTGGCTAGGCTAGGCTAACTGCTTTGATTCTTCGATCATGCAGCCTAAGAAAAGGAGGCACATGCATACAGACACTCTGCAAAGGTGCCTGCGTGCGTGCTTACCTTGTCGTAGTACCAGTGCACGGTTCCATCTCCACCCTGGCTCCTGTACGTCTCGCTGTCGTAGAAGGGATCCTGTTTTGATTTAACCCACAAGCAAGCTGTGTCATGAACACTCCAGGAAATAGTGCAATTGCATGGTGTGTGTTAGTACTGTGAATGCTTGCCTTCATGGACGCAAAGAAGCAGACGCCCCAGACCGTGAACATGGCGTAGAAGGTATCTGCGCGCGATCGATCGAGAGGGAAACGGTCAGCGGTTTCAGATCAAAGGGCGCGCGGAGCTCATGTGCTGAGACGACGGCGGCAGTAGCAGGACTCACAAACGCTCTTGAGGGCGGCGTCGCTGAGATGCCAGATGGACTTGGTCACGACGTAGTCCCGCGACATGTCCACGTGCTCCACCATCGTCACCATCAGCGGCACCACGTCCAGCGACGGGAAGGCGCTCACCTTCGCTGAACGAACCGGATCTCTGCAACGCAACACAGCAAGATCCATAGATCTGAACATTACTGAACCGTCAATGCAACGGGACTCTGTTCATCCATGCCGTGATCTCTTGGGTAAACAGTACTATTTACAGGAGCAGTGCTAATGTAACACAACGTAGGACCTGTTTGGATACGAGACTAATCACTGGCTAGCTAAAAAATAGCTTTAGTGCATCTAAATAGGAGGGTTAATTTTTTAGCCAGGTTTTTAACTAGTTATCAGCCAACTAGCTAGTCAACCATAACTAATTTTAGCTAACTTTTAATTTAGCTAGTAATTAGCCGTGCATATCTAAATAGGCGCATAGTATCGCACTCGGTTAGTCGGTTTCTTCACATTTCAGAAAGGGCCAGCATAGAAGCATAGGCAGTAGCAATGACACTGTACTCTGTTTACCATATGGTTTTACATCCTTATCACCTGTCAGCACGAAGCACGCCATGCCCCCGTTCGCTTCGCTGAACGGCTGATTTGTTGTGAGAGAAAAATACTGTTCCGGCTGAAAAAATAAGCTAAAAAACTGGATTATAAGAGAAGCGAACATGGACCCATGTCTATGCATGACTTGCCTCGAATTTACGTGAACAAGAACACTTCTTCATATTTTTCATTTCAGCATAAGAGGTCATGTACCTTAGAACGGCCGGACCTGAGCCCGTGGTCATGGAACCTGCCGAGCTGCAGAGAAACAGCATGCATAAATGTGAAGCACATGAAGCAACTAGAAACAGTCTGAACAAAACATGGATTTGAAAGAGAACGATACGTATACTGTTGCAGGACAGCGGCCATGGCGGTCAGCTCTCCTCGCGGAGTGCAGGGCAGCAGCGGCGGCGAGCTGAGAGTGTGACTTGAGCAGCGGCGAGGCCATACAGTCTATTCGTTCGGTCGTATTTAGTTGATAAGTCATAGCTTATCAGTTAACGAATAGTATTTTTCTCACACACCAAACTAGCTAATACTACTTTCAGCCATGATTTATAAGTCAAACCAGCCCAATCAACAGGGCGCATCGTTCAGCTGCTCCTTCGATGGCTTTGGAGTGAGACTGGGCGGATGGGCTCATGGTAGGACGGGAGGATAAGGTGGGTAAGTATGTTCTCCGATCTCCATCTTGGGCTGACGTAAGAACAGAAACTTTTGGGTCTGAACCTAAAGTATTGTTGGGCTCAAAAGTAGCCTGGCTGTATTTTGCCTTGTTTATTTGATTCGGCCTGGTGTCGTGCAGCCCAAATGAGAACTCAAACTGATGGGCCTCTTCTAGCCCAACAGGCCGTTAAACAAGCTGGCTAATTAGAAGCCCACTGCACTGCTTGAGGCTGAGCCCAAGTTATTTGGCCCATGCCGCCAAAACTATTTCAGAAGGAAACCGAAACGGTAATGCGAACAGGCATCCGTTCGTCCCGACGTCGCTTTTCGGACCTACGCGCTACCACGGCTCAATAGGCCTGTGTTCCTCTATGTGTCTCCCCACCTCTCTCTAAAAAATATTTTCCACTCTCGTGCTCGCCCATCGTGTGCTGCTCCACCGTGAGCTCGCTGCTGTCGTCTTCCCCGCCCCGTACTCCATTCCATGCCGTGGGGCTCCCCAATCCAGTGCTGCGCTCCATCCCGTGTTGCGCCCCCATCCCGCGCCGCACGCCCTCCGTTGTCGTGCCACGCTTCATCCCCTGCCGCGTCAACTCTAGCTGGCTGCGCGCCGCGCCCCCGCTGCTGCGCGCCGTGCCCCATCTCCCGCGCGCGCCGAGATGATGTTGGGGTGGTGCCGAGGTGTGTTGACGCCGCCGTTTTCCACCAAAAGGTCGTGGCCGCCATCGACGCCCTGACCGCCGCGACGCGCGACCTAGAGATGTTGCGATGAAAGCGTATGTTGCAAGCATATGTTTCAAGTGTTTTAGACGTTACAAAGGTATGTTGCAGTTGTTTCATATGGATGTTGCAATTGTTTTATATGGATGTTACCAGCCTGTTCGTTTGGCTGTGGCTTGCCGTAAACGATCGTAAATTTCCAGCCGGAACAGTATTTTCTCTCACACAAACCAGCCAGCAGTACTTCTTCACGAACCAGCAACGATACGAACCAGCCAACCGAACAGGCTGTACAAAAATAGATCGGGGGTGTTGCACATGTTGCATATATTGCAAGTGTTTCAGAGGCATGTTGCAAGCATTTTAGAGGTTTCTTCAAATGTTTCATCTGTTCCAGACGTATGTTGCAAGGGTTTTGATCTAGATGTTGCATGTGTTTCACACATATGTTCCAAATGCTTTGATGTTTCAGTGTTATGTTGCAATAAGTGTTTTCATGTTGCAAGTTGCAAGTGTTTTATCTGAATGTTGTATATATTTCACACATATGTTACAAAGTGTATGTTCTAGATGTTTTATCTATTTCATACATATGTTGCATTCATGTGTTTCACGTTGATCGAAGATTAGGGGGCGCGGGGAGTGGGGCGTCGGGCACAGCACATGGGCCCCAGGGGATGGGGTGCGACGAGCTGGGGGTCGATGGACGGGGCGCGCTGGTGTCCAGTGGACGGATCGCGCCGGGGGCCGGCGAGCAAGGCACGACGAGGGCGGGGTGCACGTGGGGTTGGGCGGGGGGGGGAGGGTCGCGAACGGCCTTGAATCGAGGCAGACATGGTCTGCGCGTGCGAGGCGAGACGTCCAGGCTCGTGGGTGTTGCGACGGGACGAGGTGCACGTGCGAGACGAGAAAAAAAATCAGCGGACGAGGCAGGCTGCGTGCGCGTCTGGGCGCTAGCACTGCCGATACCGAAACTGGAAACTCTGCTTGCATCTATCTCCTAAGTAAAATGGTTAGCCTTGCATCCATCTGCTAAGTTAGCTTTTAAAGCATAAAAGCATCCCGTGCTATGGAGCTGGGACGAGTTGAAGCAGAGGCATGGAGCGTGTCGTCGCAGACGCTGCCGTCCACTGGCATAAAGCAAGCTGATGTCGTTAGCCCTGATCTGATGGAGCAAGTGAGAGTTGGTGCCAACCAAACTGCATTCCCCGGCACGTACGCGCGCATCACGTGCTCACATCAGATGATCAGAATCACCTAATCCACATCCACATGCACACTCCACGGAGCTCTTCGTTCACGTATATATAAACGCGTGCGAGCAACATCCAACAACATCCAGACCAGTAAACATTGACGCAGGTAGCCGCCTTCACTAGCCGAGGGCGAGGGCGAGGCGGTGTCTCGATGCGTCCACGATGGAGGACAGCAAAGCCCCGGTGTCGGAGCACGGCGGGGAGACCTCCAAGGCCGACGTGCTCGAGGTGGCCGCCAGCAGCGGGAGCCGCAGGGCGGCGGCCAACCGCGGTCTGGCCGTGCTCGACCTCATCCTCCGCTTCGTCGCGGTGATCGCCACCGTCGGCAGCGCCATCGCCATGGGCACCACCAACCAGACGCTGCCCTTCTTCACGCAGTTCCTCCGGTTCAAGGCGCAGTACAGCGATCTCTCGACCCTGACGTACGTGCATAGATCCTTCAACCGGTCCACCAACTTGATGATTGTGTTTGCTTGGTCAACACAGTACGTGCATACATTGTTTCATTTGCATTGTCAGGTTCTTCGTGGTGGTGAATTCGATCGTTGCCGCGTACCTGGTCCTGTCCATACCTCTGTCCATCGTGCACATCATGGCGAGCAGGGCGAAGTACAGTAGGCTGGTGTTGGTTTTCTTCGACGCGGTAAGAGACATGCTATAGCTCCTCTTTCTGCATAGTACACGGCAACTGAACGGGCATCACGATCGCCGATCAGCCCAGCCCATTATGTAGTAGGTGCATGATCGATCAGAAAAGCCGATGCAAGTGATTACCAACTGAATTTTGGCACTCTTGACAAAGGCAATGCTGGCGCTGGTGACGGCGGCGGCGTCGGCGGCCGCGGGGATCGTGTACCTGGCGCACAAGGGCAACGCCAGGGCCAACTGGTTCGCCATCTGCCAGCAGTTCGACTCCTTCTGCGGGCGCATCTCCGGCTCCCTCATCGGCTCATTCGCGGCCATGGCCCTGCTCCTTTTGCTCATACTCCTCTCCGCCGCCGCGCTGGCGCGGCGCTAGATGGCCACACACCTAAGTATCCGTCAGGGTCAACCGCCAGGCGTACTTCTGTGCTCGTCGCGTGCAAGGCGTTGCATGTCTCTGCGTACTGGTCACTGTAACATGACGTGCTCGTGCAAAGGTGGCTTACAAATAAGGCACTAGTGTCGTGTCTTTGTGCAAAGGTCGTGGTACACCGTGAAAGAGATTCACATTATGTAGCCTAATTTTTCATTTTGAACCTTCTTGTTAAGTTTATTACTTACGTTAAATCTGTAGCTCACTCGAGCGTCTCTGGCGCGTCCGTCACTCGATTTTCTGCCCGTCCATCTGCTTATGTCAACGGATGCGATGATAGGCGAAGCGCCTGTGCCCGCACATTCTTCCTCGCCGCATGCACGGGACAGCTCACGTTCCATCACACCACTACTCCAGTCTACGGAGTATAGCTCTGAGCCTGACACCCCTGCACCCCATTTCATTTGGTTGGAAGCATGTAGTAGTAAGGGTCTGTTTGTTTCCGCTCATAAGCGCGTTGGCGACCGAGATGCGCGGAAAACGACGCCGAACGGTCTGCATCGCTAGCGTGTTTCACGGCAAAAAAAAACGCGGCTCGGCGATTCTCAAAACGCAGCCTCGGAGCCACGTTCGCTCAAACGCGAACGTCGCGATACGGCATCCCGGAAATAAACATGCCATAAATACTACTGAGTACACATGCTTTCTTTCTCGTAGCTTTTCTTCTCCCGTCCTTCTCTTTCTTCCTTGCCTCCGACCCCGCCCCAGCACCCGCGCCACCGCACCCCTCGGCGCCTACGACCCTGCACCCCGGCGCGCCCGCGTTGCGCGCCCCTCGGCCCTGCCGTCCCGACGTCGTTGTCGACCGGGCACCGGGCGTCCGAGCTGCCGCGCCGCGCGCCCCTGCTTACTTCTGCCTCCCCACCCATCTGCTACCGGCACGACCACGTCGCAGCCCGGCCGACTGACCGCCGCTGCAACCTTGTACAAATTCATTGCTTGCTTAGTAGTTATAGATTACATCTCATTGTAACATATTTTACTATTCTTATTTGGGTGTAAGTTCTATGTTTAATCGGTGTAAATTGATTTTTTAAATAAGAATGGTGATTTGGATTACTTGAACAGTTGTGTGATCTTTGTTTTTGGCCTTTTTTTGTCTGTATGTTTTATTGCTTTGATCTTCTTCTAATTTGCCTTTCATAGAATTGATCTGTTAAATCTGTCTTTTTTCTTTGATTTTTTGCTTTGATCTTCTTCCAATTTGCCTTTCATAGAACTGATCTATTTAATATGTCTTTTTTCTTTGTTTTTTTTGCTTTGATTTTCTTCTAATTTGCATTTCGTACGACTGATCTGATTAATTTATATTTTTTCTTTGTTTTTTCGCTCTGTTTTTATTTCTTTTATTTGGTTCATTGGATTTTGATCTCGTGGTTACGGGAATCGAGTGACAGAACACCCTTAAACACTTGATTTGTTTTATTTGGTAAATTAGATTGATTTAAGATGTTCTGTCACTCGGGGTGACAGGAGGGTGTAAATCACCCGAGTTTTCAGTAGAGAGACTCATTACTTATATCATATCCACTAGCACCATGCTAAAAGGTCATCTGTTGACGTACAACTTTATGAGGTGTACATATTGTTTTAAATATCTCGGACACTTATCTATTTTTTCTCAACTCTTTTTTTATGAATAACTTTTACATATCCCCATGTCTCTTTTCTACAACAGAACTTTGAGACAGATATCAACAAGAACTTGAAGCATTTATTTTGTGGATGAAAAACCTAACAAACATATTTTTATATTCACTCTCAATGTAGGAGTAAAATATTTTTGAGTGGATATAGATGGAAGGCATGTTTTTGTGCATACTCCCAGTATAGGAGTAGTGCATATGTGGGTGGTGTGTATATGATCTCGATTTTAAGAGCATGACAAATCTCTCATAAGGGTTTGACAAAACTCAATGCAAAAGCAAACAACATATATATAGAAGTTTTTCTAGCCTAAATAACATGTATGGCTCTGGTGGGAATTCAAGCTTTGTCATATATGAACTCATCATATATCATTTTTATATTTTTTAAAAGAAATCTCCAGAACTTTAGTGTCACTTGGAACAAGATAAACAGTAGCTCAGATCTTCTCATACCTAGACTTAGATCAAGCATATGCTACCCACGAGTTTCAAGTTCAGAGTAAATCCTTATATCAAATCAGTTTTATCTAAAACTCGAGAGAGTTTAAGGCTAAAAACTAGATACTTGAAAGGAATTACAACAACGCAACTATTTATCATTTTCATTATAAGAGAATATCTTCAGAGCCCCTTTTATTTATTTAGCTCTTAAAAGAAATTAAAGTAAACTAGACACACTCTTTTTTTTATTTTGTTTTCATTTTTTTATAAAGCAAACTAAATAAAACAAAGGAAGGGAAGTACTTAGCTGGATACACGTGATGCCTCTCCCCCAAGCTGGTTGATGGTAAACTTAGCCAAGGATGAAGTGCAAGGTTAGCAGACCCAAGATAGGTCAGCATACCTTTCTTGTGGTTCTTTCGTCGTTTGTTAGATGCCGTGCATAAACAACTTGTGGAGACAAGCACCAACAAAATACTAGAGAAATCCTGGCAATATACTTTAGCAGGTAAACATGTTTTTTTTCACAGAGTAAAGAAGAAGAGCTGAATTGAAAATGTTATTTAAATTCAATAAAGTTAATTATATCCAATTCTTCTTTTGGCAATTGTGTGTCATGGAAAACTTTTAAACGATGACCATTTACCTTGAAAAGCGTACCTTCATCATTTTGAAGTGTGACTGGTCCATGAGATGATGCGCTAATTACCTTGTAAGGTACTTCCCATTTGCTTCGTAGTTTCCCATGTCCAAACAACTTCACTCTATAGTTGAAAAGCAACACCTTTTCACCTAGTTTGAATTCCTTCTTTTTCAATCTTTTGTCATGCCATCTTTTTATCCTCTCCTTGTAGAGTTTTGCATTATGATATGCCTTTTCTCGCCATTCCTCTAGCTCAGAGAGTTGCATTTTTCTCTTCTTTTCAGCTGCTTCAAAATCTATGTTCCACCTTTTTATGGCCCAACGAGTTTTGAATTCCAACTCGACAGGTAGGTGACATATCTTCCTGTAGACAAGTTGGTATGGAGACATTCCAAGAGGTGTTTTGTAAGCTATTCTGTAAGCGTATAGTGCTCCATGTAACTTATCTTTCCATGCTATTCCTATCTCATTGACAGTCTTTTGCAGAATGTTCTTGATTTGCTTGTTTGATGTTTCTGCTTGTCCGCTAGTTTGAGGATGATATGGTGTCGTGATGTTATGACGGACCCCATGATCAGATAAGAATCGTCGAAACTTTCTATCAATGAAGTGAGGACCTCCGTCGCTAATTACCATGCGTGGAACTCTGAAGCGTGGAAAGATAGTCTCAGAAAACATCCTTTTGGCATTATTGGAATCTGCAGCTCGACATGGTAAAGCTTCAACCCATTTTGAGACATAGTCGACTGCCACCAGGATATATTTGCATTGCTGGGATTTTGGAAATGGTCCCATATAATCGATTCCCTAGACATCAAAGAGTTCTAACTAGAGGTTGGTGGTGAGTGGCAATGCGTCTCTTGCTTTGATATTCCCATGTTTCTGACACAGGATGCACCTCCGTATAAATTCTTTGATGTCATCGTACATGGTTGGCCAGAAGAATCTACTTTGCCAGATCTTAGCATTAGTGCGGAATGCCCCATAATGTCCTCCATACGGTGATGAGTGACGTCTTTCAATGATCTTGGTTGCTTCCTTAGTCGTAACACACCTCCTGAGTAGTCCATTGGAGCAGACTCGGAAGAGGTACTGTTCATCCCATAGGTGGAGGCGACTTTCATGGATGAGCTTGCGCCTGTTCTCCCGTGGTGGTACATAACCTGCAACCATAAAATTAACAATATTTGCATACCAGGGGTCGGATCCTGCGACCTTTAGGAGCATATCGTCCCGCAGAAAAATCATTGATGGGCAACTCCTGTGGATTCTCAAACTACATTCTTGATAAGTGATCGGCTACAGAATTTTCTATTCCTTTCTTATCTTGAATTTCTAAATCAAATTCTTGAAGTAAAATGATCCATCTTATAAGCCGAGGCTTAGTATCTTTCTTAGTAAGGAGATATTTAAGAGCAACATGATCAGTGTAAATAATAACCTTTGCTCCTACTAAGTAAGATATAAACTTATCAATAGCAAAAACAACAGACACAAGCTCTTTTTTAATTGTTGCATAATTAAGTTGAGGTCCTGATAGAGTTTTACTAGCATAAGAAATTGTATGATGCTTTCTATCTTTTGTTTGACCCAAAACTGCCCCCACAGCATAATCACTAGCATCACACAAGATTTTAAAAGGTAGCGATCAATCAGGAGGTTGAATGATTGGCGTAGAGATAAGTGCTTTCTTAAGGATTTGAAAAGCATTTAAACACTCTTCATCAAACTCAAAGGGAGCATCCTTGGCTAACAAACTTGTAAGGGGTCTAGCAATATGAGAAAAATCTTTTATAAAATGGCGATAAAACCCCGCATGACCAAGGAAACTTTGTACCCCTTTGACATTCGTAGGAGGAGGTAGCCGTTCTATTACTTCTATCTTAGCTCGGTCTACCTCAATCTCACGTTCGGATACCAAGTGTCCAAGCATTATGCCTTCTCTAACCATGAAATGACATTTTTCCAATTAAGAACTAAGTGCTTTTCCTCACATCTTTGCAAAACTTTGTCTAAATTTTTTAAGCAATCATTAATTTTTTTTTCATAAACAGAAAAATCATCCATAAAAACTTTCATGATTTCTTCTATCATATCAGAAAAATAGACATCATGCACCTTTGGAACGAAGCTGGAGCGTTGCACAATCCAAAAGACATCCTACGATAAGCATAAGTTTCATAGGGATAAGTAAAAGTAGTTTTGCTTTTGTCATCAGGATGGATCGGGATTTGATGATAACCTGAATACCCATCAAGGAAACAAAAGAAAGAATGCTTTACAAGCTATTCTAACATCTCATCGATGAAGGGTAACGGGAAGTGATCTTTCTTTGTTGCCTTGTTAAGTTTTCGATAATCAATGCACATCCGTCATCCTATGACTGTTTGTTGTGAGATTAATTCATCTTTTTCATTTTTTACCACAGTCATGCCCCCTTTCTTCGGTACAACTTGTACTGGGCTTACCCACTCACTATATGGTATGGGATAGATTATCCCTGCATGCAAAAGTTTCAAAACCTCTTTCTTAACAACTTCTCTCATCGCAATGTTAAGCCTATGTTGGGGCTCCCTAGAAGGTGTATATGCTAGATCTATGGGAATGCGATGGGTGCAAAGGGCATGACTAATCCTCTTGAGGTCTTCGAGTGAGTAACCGAAGGTAGAGCGATGCTTTTCTAAAACAGTAAGGAGTCGAAGGGTCTCGTCCTCAAAGTTTATCGCTAATAATTACGGAGACTCCCTATCGTTATTTAGAAAAGTGTACTTCAAACCTAAAGGAAGGGGTTTGAACACAATGGGGGGTTTTGGTGGCTCTAGAGTTTTATCCAAAGGGAAAGGATCTCACGGTTCTTCTTTGTCTTGGATGAAATCCTGGGCATCTTCTTCGAGATGTTTGTCGGAAACTTCTAGGAGAGAAGCTATCATAATCTCCTCCATTGGATCTTGCTCGAGACTCAACTCCATCTTAGCATGTAACGAGCGAGTAATGGGAATAGAAAGATTTAGGCTTTTTATGAGTCTTACATTTATACTCCCCTTTCCTCCTTCATGTAGGAGTCTCTCTATTGATGCCCTATCAAAAGATCGAACTCCCAAATATCGAAAACATAAAAACTAAGATACACCTTAGTTTCGTCTACTTTGATAGGGATGAGGCGAAAAAATCCTTCACTAGGAAGGATTTGCCCGGAGTGACTTTTTAAGAGTTTGGTTGTTGGAGTTAATTGCATATTTTTAGGAAGGGTATCTGCAAAAGATTTAGACATAATATTTACTTCTATAACCGAATTATAAAAAGCATTGAAGGAGGTTTTATGAATCTGACAATGAATGGAGGTAGAGAGAGAATCTAAACGAATGACTTTAGGAGAAAGCTTGGATTCTCTCAACCACTCATTGCTTACGATTGTTGTCAACTCCTTCAGTCTTTTTAAGGAACTTCACTTCGGTAGGGTTAGGAAGATGCTGGTTAGGTGCTGATGGTGCCGAAGATTTCCTTATTGCATAATAATTTGAGGTGTTTCCAAAATCGGAGAAGAGCTCATCCTTGAATTCAAACATATTTTCCAAAGGCAAAATTTCTTCCTCATTCGGTGGTTCAGAAACTTGAAGGATAGTTGAGACTTCAAGTGGAGTAGCTAAAGGTCTGGGCTCAACTATCAAATGTTCTTCCTTAGGAGTTTTCTCAACTATGTCTTTCGGGCCATCGTCACGAACGCTGGTGTAGGGGGTGTTATCTAGGATTTTTCTAAGGATGTTTCTCCCTTCACTAGCAGAGCAGTGTAAGAAGGCGCCTCCAAAAGTTGTATCAAGAAGCTGCGTGGTCTCCCCACTAAGACCCATATAAAAGTGTTGTAAAAGCAAGGGTCTTGAATGGTAAGGTCATGGCCAGAATTGACTAGGTCATTAAAACGTGTCCATGCCGCACCAAGAGATTCCTTTTCTTTCTGTTTAAAAGGTAGAACCTCTATTCGAAGGCTAACCGCTCCAGAGATGGGGAAGAAAGATAAGCAAAAGCTAGAACATAGAGCTTCCCAATCTTCTTGTACACTGTCTACGGTTCGGGTATACCAGTGTTTGGCTCTTCCCGTCAAAGAGAACAAAAATAGATTCCACTTTAAAGTTCATGTGACATGCCTGCGATATACAAGCATGCACAGGTTTGCTCAAACTCTCGTAGGTGGGTATATGGGTTTTCATCATCTTCTCCTGAGAACGATTGTTCCTGGACCAAATTTATTAAAGACAGACGTAACTCATAGCCAGATGTAAGGATAGGTTTCGAAGATTCTAGTGGCTCTAGTTGTGCGCCTGTGGGAGCAGCAAATTGATTGATATGCGTAACGTTATCCATGCTTAAAGATAAATAAAAGATACAAGTACAAATCTGGTTCGACGAAATCACAACAATCATCTCTCTGGCAACGACGCCAGAAAACTTGTTGACACCTATGGAGGCACACAGAGACAAAATCCACAAGCGCACGGGTATCGAAGTAGTTTTCACCCAGAGTATTATCGAGTATCGTATCCACGAGGAAACGTGTGTGTTTTCTAATAAGTAGTTTGTCTAGGAATAGCAATCAAGGTTTAAGGTATGAGTAGAGAGGAGTCCTATGGTTATGACCCTATGCAAAGCAATGCTTATGATTCTAGTGTTCACTTCGGGACACTGCTTAGATAGTAAAGCACCGCTAATAGATAACTCTACCGACGCGACTACGGCCCTACTAATTTAAGAACATGCTCAATTTGGTGTGGACTACAAAGGATAGACGGGGCTATCACCTCCCGCTGCTACCACACAACCAAGAAGCATGGAGCAAACACAGGTAGCCAAAAGCCTAAGCACCATGCTTATGCTAACGATTACTACTCTAATATAGAGATCTAACAAGGACTAGAGCACCCAAAAGAATTGTGAACCCATGAACAAAAGAGCACAAAACTTACTTTAAATAGAAATCAATTACCAGATGTATCTCAGATGTACACTTAGAGAAGCCTAGATCCGCCAAAGTACAAGCCGTAGAGGTAGGACCGACAGGCCGGTACTTCCTCCAAACTCTTCCATCACTCTCTAACTCAATATTTTTATTTATAAGAATAGATCGTATAAAGGACTAATCTTCTCTTGATGCCCTGATCCTAGGATGAGGATATAAATTAGGGTCAGGATCTACTTCAGGAGGGGGGTAGGGGCTGCTATTTATGAGGGACGCCAGGCACTCTCCCCCTCTGAATAGCCTTCATTGGTACTAAACTTTCTATCATATCTCATTAAAATGAACATAGGTCTTTATGGACAAAATTTTGAATTGGGCCCAATTAATCCCGCAGCTCATGATGTGGAGCTTTTCTTTTATTTGCGAAATTTATATCTGTTCATTCCGTGCTTCAAATATAGCAAATAATATATCCGTTTCAATCAGCTCAATGAGCTCTTCGTAATGCTACACTCCAATTCATCATTTGAGATAGTTTTTTTCTGTGAAAAATTAAATATCCCGCGAGACAAGTGATAGCACCAAAACTTGTGGAACTTGTTAGAATCAAACCCTATAACTATGTTTGATGATGGAATTAAGCATATATGCAGGTTATGTTGACGGTTTATAATTGACATTAACAACCGTCAACACACATGAAACCTGCATCTGAAGCAGTAGCTGCAACACCAGATCTACTTTTAAAATATCCAGACGAAACACTTGCAACATACGTACGAAATAGCTAAAACACTCGAAACTTGCGTATGCAACACTTGCAAAAAAACATCTGAAAAACACTTCATATGTGTGAAAACATATGCAACATCGAGATCAAAACGCTTGCAACATACATCTGGAAACAGATGAAATAGTTTGAACAAACGCTTGCAACATGCCTCTGAAACATTTGCAACATATGCAACATGTGCAACATCCCCGATCTACTTTTATAACATCCATATGAAAATATTGCAACATGCCTCTGAAACGTCTGAAATCAATTAAAATTATATTTACAATATAGGGGAAGAGAGGCCTAAGTCGATCGATTCTGGCCGACGGGGTGAGAGCCGCGGTGCGTCTTGGTATCTTGGCTACAGACTACCCAAAGACACTACTACTACAGTGGCGTCGCGACACCACAACCACCAACGCTTCTTGGCACATGGCGGCTCTCGGGCGGCGGTGGGGGGACGAAGGCGGGGAGTGCCATGGCCACCGGGGTGGGGGGAGTTCGGTCGCCGGGGTGAAAGAGGGCACCGTGCCGGGGTGGGGGAGAGCCACCGACTCCCCTGCAACATCGGTGCGCCACCTCAATGGATCTCGCCGGGGTGAGGGAGAAGGCCATCGGATCCGCGGCGTTGGGCGCTCCTGGTGGGTAAGGACGTCGGGTAGGGGGAGGTGCTCCGCCGTCGGTCAGGGAGGCAGCCATGGCCGCACGTCGGAGTGGGGCAGGGCACGAGCGTGGAATGGATAAGGACGTAGAGGAGAAAGTGAGGAATAAGATTTTTTTTTTAGCGAGCGGCGCGTGCGGACGTCCGTCCGTCCGTCTTAATTGCATCGTTATCGTTGTAAACTCGCTTGTATTGGCAGTAGGTTCACAAATCTTTCTTCACACGAGAGGTAACATGGCCCACCGTCACCCGGCCCCACTCGTACTAGGCGCATTGGCCGCAACCGACAAAAACTTATCGTCACTGTTCTAAATTCCCTTTAAAACCCCGTGTCGTCTTTGCATAATCCGTTCGCAAACGAGGCCTCCCCTTCATTCCTCCAGCTCTCCAAGCTTCGTCGCGAAACCCACTCGGAAACCACGCACGAGCAGCAACTGCCAGAAAAGACCGAAACCCTATAAGCAGTAGCGGCCAATGGCGATCATCACCAATTCCCAGGAGGAGGGCGACGGTGAGGTGGCTGCGCCGTCTGCGGCGAAGGCCATCAGCAGGAGCGACGAGGACGTCTTCGCGGCGGTGCTCGAGCGCACGGGCGGCCCACTCCCATTCCTCCAGGCGGCGATCGACGTCGCGCGGGAGCGCTCCGGCCTGTTCCGCGACCCCACCGCGGCGAGCAAGGTGGCAGCGATGGCGAAGGCGGCCAGGGCCCAGGCGGTGGCAGCGAAGGAGGAGACAAGTAAGTTGACGGAGAGACGGAGGAACGAGGAGTCGAGGAGAGCGGCGGATGCGGAGAGGAAGATGGAGGGGGACGCAGAGAACACGGCGAAGGACGGGAGGCGCGCAAGAGGTGATTCATCTCGTTCCGCCACCTTTTTTGGTCTGTTTGTGATGTTCATGGTTCGAATGCGGGATTTGCTTTGTGCCTTGGTAATTTCTGATGCTGCATTTACTCATCAAATATAAGGCACTCTGTTCCTTTCTACTCCTATGTCTTTGTGCAAGCAGAGTAAAGTCGCATTGCAATTCTAGGCTCGGCAACTAGTTAGCTTCAGAGTTCAGATTGACACATGGGTTTGAGATTCTGCTCTAAAGTTATGATGCATAGGTGTTCAGATTGACATACTGACAACATTCAGGCAAATACATCATGGAATTTCAAAGTATGCCATATACCTTAGTTGCTTCCTGTGTGAAGTGTTAGTGTTGAGATTTACATGATAACAAACAGGAAAATATCATGGAATTTCAGATTCTCGCTTGGCTGCCTTTACAGTTTTATGCTAATTCATGAGTGTCAGAGCTTGACTTTCAAAGCAGTGATTCAACTCTGAGTTTTTTTACTGGGATTGAGTATTTGAGTTCTGAACTGATGCTTATCTTTGTCTGTCACAAAAGATTAAAGGAATTTCAAGTTGTTTAGTGTTCTGTACTCGGTTGCACTTATCAATATTTGCTTTGAGATCTGTACGTTTAACAGCATGTATGTCAAGCAGCAATCAGTTAACGATGCAATACCATGTTTACTGATTCTTCTGCTGATATGTTCTGTCAGACTGTCAGTAGAATTATGCTGCGTTGAACCTATAAGTTTTGTCTTTAAATTATCATTATTGCGCTAATTAATTAAGATTTCTTCTGTAATGAATAGTTGATAAGTTCCTTCCTTGTTATTTGAGACCCATTTCTCGTGGCAAATGTGATTTCCACATGTTACTTACTGTGCCTCATTCTGATCTCAAATTCTGGGATATCAATTACTAACAACCTGGGCTGTGCATACCCTTCTCCTGAAATAAATTGTTTGTACTCTCATGCTGATCTGGACATCAGATGAACTTAATTGTAATCTGCACTTCCATTTCTGTTATTGTGCTCACATCCTTTACATTAAAGAACTAAGGTGTTTTCCTTTTCAATTGTGGTTTAGAACCAAATGCTGAAAATGGTCTGGACTTGGAGAAATATTCCTGGACTCAAGAGTTGTCAGAGGTTAATATAACTGTTCCAGTTCCCCAAGGAACAAAGTCAGTGTTTGTTGTCTGTGAGATTGAGAAGAACCACCTAAAGGTTGCACTAAAGGCCCAGACTCCAATAATTGACGTAAGTGGCAATATTGAAATGGCGTAACCTCGTCTATAAGTTGATAAAGTGACATGCTCAATATTTATTGGGCCCTTGATCCGCGCCCTGATCAGGGGCGCCCAACCGTTCTATGGTTGGTGGACCCCCGTCGCACAGCGCCATAAAAAGGGAGGTGGGGGCCGGGGCACAAGGCACGAGGTTTACCTGAGCCGCCATACACCCCACCTACATCATAACCCTAGCCGATCTAGAGAGGGGACGCTGCCAGCGATGGGAAGCACCGCCACCGGCCACCACCGCCTCTGCACCACCGCCACTGCGACCGCATCTTCACCGCATCACCGACAAGCACCGCCATGGCCAGCTCGTCTTCCTCGAAGGCGGCCGATGGTTTGCATCTCCGTACCCTCTCTCTCTCTCTTTCTCTGTTTCTCGCTTTAGCTTATGTTCTAGGGTTTGCCATGTTCTAAATTCAAGTATACACCCGCTAGATCTGCAACTAGGATCCTAAACATCTATCAATGGTATCAGTCGCCTGGTCTAGATGTAGATCTAGTCTTTGGGGTAAAAATCACGAAGAAAACAGAAGGAGGGGACTCGATTCGAATTGGATTGAAACCCCACCCGAAACCCTAACCCTAACCCAAGAGTAAGGACGAAGGAGGGGAGGACCTATCCGGACTCCCCGCCGCGCGTCACCATTGCTGTCGCGCGGGTAGAATCCCACCGTCGCGCGGGCAGAATGGGCCGAGCCGCCGCTCGACGCTTAGTCGCCGGCCGCAGCGGGCTCTGGGCGCCAACATAGGACCGCTCAAAGGCGGCGCGCTCACCCAGTGGGGAGCGCGCGCTCCGACGAGGGGATCCGCGGCGGCGCCGCACTCTTCTTCTCTGACGTCAGTTGCACTGAGGAGAAAGGGGGAAGATCTAGGGTTTAGGGCAATCCTACCGCAACGCGTGTCGGGATCAGGGCACCGTCGCCCAGACCGCTCGATGGCAGCACACTCAGCCTAGGGCGAGTGCGCGCGCCGACGAGGGGACCGACGACGGAGTCGCATCGCTGCTCTTCTTCTGGCCGCGGCGCTGAGGAGAGGAGACGGAGGGAGGTGAGAATGAGCTTAGGGTTTTCGGATGCGGCCGCGGACGCCGGTTTTGATCTCGCGAGGAGGGCGGATGGCCGTCGGATCACGATGGATGGTCGGCGTTTGCTGGACTGAAATTGGCCCAGGCGGGGTTGGAGAATCCCGGCCTAGGCCCAAAGTTGCGCCTTTGGCGCTGGGGAGCGGCGCTACAAGATTGTGTTGGGTCATTCTTTGGGCATGCGCGCCTGGTGGCATTTTTTGCCACCGGGGCGAACAACTTTATTTCAACGGCTGGGCCAAACGAACAGTAGAAACTGAGTTATTGTTTTATTCATTTTCAGAAGTAAATTTTGATGATTTTTTGTTCAGTTTCAATCTTTGTCAAAATTTGTACCAACGGGATAGTTTTTTTTCGAGAGTAGATTCGTACAGTAAAATGCTTCTTAAAAGTAGATAAATAATTTTTCATGTTTCCGCTGCAATGTTAAAGTTTATTATCTTCTAATTAAATTCAAACCAGCGGGAGAATTTAATTTGAAGAGCAGTCATTTTATTCAGTAAATTATAATATTGTTATTTTTCTGACAACGTTGATAATAGCAATATTATAATGTTTATTCATAAAGTATTCCATGCGTTAATTCTATTTCTGCCCAACAGTGATGTAGAATTAGTGTATAAGAAAGTTGTATGTTTTAATTTTGACCAACGTTAAATTAAGGCATGCAATTATTATGTCAATTTTCTCACTCTCTCTGACGGTGTTTTTCAGAACTCAACCCAATGGCTTTTATCTCGCACATACCGCCTCTTGAAGGGGGCAACTATAGGGTATGACGAGAGAAGTATGAAGTAGCACTTGCGCTGTCTGAAAATGACCTAGCGCTTACCTCCCCGTGTCCTACTGAGCTAGTGAACCCGGTGAGGGAAGAAAATGAGTCTGATACTGATTTCACTGCTCGGCAGCGAGATCATGCAGAAGTGCGGATGAAATATGATCTCGAACATAAAAATGGGATATTTCAAACCACAAGTGCTTGAATGGTGGCTAAGTCCATAATTTCAGATGCTATAAGAGGTCTATCCCAGATTGTGATACCGCCACAGAGTATCTTAAGAAAGTGGAGAGTCAGTTCGCTGGCTCTTCAAAGGCTTAAGCCTGTACTTTGATTAAGAAATTGTTCAATGAGAAATACACTGGTGGCGGTATCAAAGAGCACATACTGAAGATGACCAACACGGCCTCGAAGCTGAAGCCAATTGATTTGGGGCTCAAGGATGAGTTCCTGATTCATTTGGTTTTTGCTTCCTTACCTAAGGAATATGAAACTTTTGTTGTTAATTATAACATGCAGCCCGACAAATGGGGTATAGAGAAGCTCAATGCAATGTGTGTTCAAGAAGAGGAGAGGCTAAAAAGCTCATAGGGTGACTCTGCTAGCCTTGTGAAGGACAACAAGAAGAAGAACTTCAATAAAAATATCAAACCTATAAGAAAAGCCTCTCAGAATGACCACCATCAGAATAACAACAATGCTCAAGTTGAGAAAGATCAGTGTAAATGGTGCAAGAAGCATGGACATTACCAGAGGGACTGTCCAGACTTTCTAAAGACCCTTCTGAAGAGAGGTGAGGATTTTATTACATTCATAGATTAATCCTTGTATTTAAGTTATGCAAAATCTACTTGGTGGATTGATTTAGGTGCAACTGTTCATGTTGCAAATTTATTACAGGGATTTCGTATGAGGAGAACCCTGCAAAGAGAAGAAAGAAGAATTAAAGTTGCAAATAGAGTTGAAGCTAAAGTTGAAGCCATTGGAGATCTTTCTCTAAAATTAGATGATGGTTTTAGACTTTAATTTTTAGATATTCTTTATGTACCCTCTTTTCGTAGAAACTTGATAAGTGATTCAAGATTGATGATGATGGATATGATTGCCATTTTGGTAATAGCAAATGTCGAATTGTGATTAATAATAGGGACAATTGGCCACAGGACATGCCAAATGAGCACCGACGGCTGGTGGACACCGCAAATACGCCAATTTGCTGCTGGCCACTGTGTTTCCACTTTGAGTTGCCAGAAGACACCGTGCCCCGGTTTGAGCCAAGAGAGGAGAGAGAAATATTCATTTTGGACATGTGGTGCCCTCGAGCCAAAACGGCAACCCGGTCTAGTTCGACCACATTTAACCGACCCGACCCGGCAGTTAGGGTATCGACGCCCTCCCGCCTTCCCTCTCTTCCCCATCCCCTTCTCCAAGTCGGCGGCGGTGGCGTTTTGGTTGACGGCGGCGGTGGCGCAGGCTTGGCGGGCGCGGGATTGTCAAGCGGGCCGGTGGGGGCAAGCAGAGGCCTGAAGATGGCGACGGGCTCCGGCGCTTCCTCCTCGACAGGTTCGCGCGGACCGAGTCGACAGCCGCCGATGGGTGGGCAGCCGCTGTGCCCTTTCTGCCGGACGACCACCATTGTGGAGCGGACCTCCAGAACCACAAACAACCCAGATAAGCAGTTCTACACTTGCAAGAATCGGGACTGGGTGAGTTTTTTGTACTTCATGTTGTTCATTTTCGTCAACGCCAACTCCAGATCTAGGGTTCATCCGAAATCTCTGCTTGAACAGGGCAACAACAAGTGCGCTTTCTTCATGTGGAAGCCGGTGAGTGATGGCGTCGATGCTGCATCATTGACGGCCGGAGTCCAGGCATTGGAGAAGTCTCTGTTGGCCCTGGGCAATTTTGTTGAAGCTCAGAGTCTCCATGTCAGTAGAATAGCTGGGCAGCAGAGAGTGGATAGGTGGTTGAATGTGGCCAGTGTGTTTGTAGGAGTTGTGTGCTTTGTTGTCTTGTGCAGTTGTCTTGTGCATCTTAATGCAGAAGCAAGATTAACTTTGTAATGGCTTGAGAAATGAATGAAAGATAGTTATCTTGCAATTCCAAGTTTAATACAAGGAAACTGAGCCTTAGATGGCCATAATACAATACCAAGTGTCATAATACAATACCAGTCCAAGTGGAGCCTCATATGGCCACAATACAATACCAGTTTACACATTACATAGTTCATTTGCCAGAATTCAATATTAGGTGTCATACATAACCCAGACCAAGTTTATATGGCCATAGCATCCTTAAACTGACAGAGAAGTTCACAAAATCACATAAATCCATCATAAAGAGGAAGCCATGTTGCTTGCACACTCCTAGACTTCCATCAACCTCTTCTTGCTCCTAGTGCTAGCGCTGGGACTTGCTGATGATGTACTTTGGCTCCTTGTCACTGCTCCTTGGCTGGCCTGCTTCCTTGTCACCAGGGAGTTTGAAACCCTGCATAGTTATACACATGTTAACATGTAGTCCCTAAACTAACATAAAAACTGAAGGTAACAGATGGATCACATACTGTTTAGCAGGTGTGGGCTCTGCAGGTGTGGGCTCTGCAGCTGTAGGAGTTGCCTTCTTTTTCTTGTTGGGTTATTTCCCCTTGGTGGAGGCCTTCCTCTTCTTCTTAGTACAAGGATCTTCTGGGTTTTCTGTAACCCTGATCACTTTTGGCTTGGAAGTCCTCTTCCTCTTCTTGGATGAATCTTCTGTGGTTTCTATGATCTCCACCACTTTTGGCTTGTAAGTCCTCCTCTTTGGTGGTGCAGGTGGTGGGGCATCAGGATCATGGACAGTTTCATTGCAGGTTTTCTGTAGGTGACCAAATCCACCACACCTTTTACACCTTCTCTTACCTCTACTGCTTGTCCCACCTTCTTCAGAGCCAACTATCCTTCTCTTTCTTGGCCTACCTGCTGCTCTATAGCATAAAGGAGGAAGTAGCTTGAAGCCAAGGTCCACCTTCTCCCATTCTTCCTTGTCTGGCATTGGAGGCACAACAGATGCATATGCTGCTATGAACTTCTGCACATAGTAGTAAGGGTGCACAAAATCCTCCAATAGGACCCTTCTTGTGCCAATGAAAGCTATGGCATGCACACAGGGGAGTCCAGTGAGCTGCCATCCTCTGCATGTGCACTCATGGTTGTCCAGATCAACAATGAATCTCCAAGGAACTAGGTCTTTATTCACTCCTACTTCTCCAACCATTGGACCACTCCTATGTATGCTATAGTTAAGGGATCTGCTTTTCTCATGCAGAACCTTCATGACATGAGGCAAAATCTTGAAGCCTGACAACTTTGAGGCCAGGTTTCTCCTAGTGCAGAACCTCTCCATGATCAACTGCCTTATCTTATCCATGAGGTCTAGAACAGGTAAGGACTTGTGTTCCCTGATCCAACTATTGAATGTCTCAGCAATGTTGTTGGTGACATAGTCACATTTGCTTGTTGTGTTGAATTTGGCCCTTACCCATAGCTGCTTGTGGTTCTCCAGCAGCCAGTTAGTTGCCTTTGGGCATGCTTTGTGCATCTCATTCCAATGCCTCTCATGTGTTGTCATTCTGTAGCACCTTGATGCAGGCCACAAGTTCTTCTCAAACACTTCTACTCTAAACCTCTTCTAGAAATTCTTGACAAGATGCCTCATGCATTCTCTGTGTTCTACACCATTGCTGAAGATTTTGGTAACTGCCTTATCAATTTCTTTGCCTGTCATTAGAAAACAAGAAAAGAACCAGAAAACACTGTCAGTCATTAGGAAACAAGAAAAGAACAAGGTCTGCTAAAATATGTTGAAATAAGAAAACTAACCTGCATCTGTTGAAATAACCAGACCATGTGGAGAACCAATTGCCTTGTGCAGTATCTTCATGAACCATTCCCAGTTCTCCATGGTCTCACTGCCAAAGACTCCATAGGCCACTGGGAACATCCAGTTATGGCCATCAACACCTATAGCTGAAGCTAACTGACCCTTCCACCTTGCTGTCAAAACTGTAGAATCAATCCCTAGGTACGGTCTACAACCATTAAGGAAGCCATCAATGCATGGCTTCAGTGCTACAAACATCCTACAAAACCTTCTCTTCTCATTCACAAGCTCCCATTTAATCTCTACAACACTACCAGGACACCTCTTCTCAACCTGCCTCTTACAAGAAAACACATGGACAAAGCTGTCCTCCCATCCGCCTAAAATCTCATCTAATGCCATTTGCCTGCCGTCCCAAACAACGTACTTGCTCACTTTGATGTTGTACTTCTCCTCCAACTGTTTCCTTAGAGCTTTAGGCCCCTTAGCCAATTGATAACTCTGTCCTTCACCCAATGATTGGTAGCCATGCAATTTTTTTCCAAATTCCCTGTGCCGGCACATCTGTGCTTGTGTGGCATCTTCTTAATCTGCAACCATCAAAGAATGAAGGTAATGAAATAATATAGAGTTAGTGAAACAACTACATCAATGAAACATGGCATAAACAAGTAATGAAAAAGTGCATACCTGCCATGTCTTCTCATCTGATAACTGAGATGCATGAATTCTCCACCTACACCTCTCTGCCTTACAGTAAGCTCGGTACCGCCTTGACTCACTATAAGAAACTACAAGTTCAACTTCATTAAGCACATCATATTGCCTAATACACCTCTTAAAACATAAACCATCTTCAAAAGTAATACCAACTGCTATTTTAGGGTTATCTACGTCAGTGACATGCAACACACTCTCACAGCCCCTCTCATCATCCACCTCTAGTGGGTCATCATCCTCTAGGTCAGTGTCAGGATAGTAAGAACAATCCTCTTGACCATCATCATTGAGCTCATCATGGTACTTCTCTTTCTCATCATCCACTCCTACATACTCAACCTCATCCTTCTCTCCCCAGTCATCATTCTCATCATCCCGGCATCAACACTCTCATCACTCTCATCACTCTCATCATGGTCAAGAATGTCATCACCTCAAACTCTCAGATGTCATGAGCATTAACATCTCAGAGTGTCATCGTGCTCAGATTTTCCGTAAGAACACTCAAAGAAGTAGGAGCTTGTAAATTATCGTGGTAAATCACATCTAAAGGCATAGCAACTTCAACATTTTCATCATCGAAGCAAGATTATCATGCTCAACAGGATTAGCATGTTTGAAACAGATTAGCATCAACACGAGCCGTGTTCCAAGGAGTTGTGTCAATAACATCTACAGTTAGTGGCAGCTTCCTACTATCCCAATAAACATCAAATGCATGCAGCAGAGCACTATCAGAATTTATGTGGACTGTCTCATTCTTGGTTGTGTCAAAGAAGGAGACATGGAGATCTTAATCCTGACCATGAACTATCTCCTCACCGAGCAGCTGACGAAAACCCATCTAGTTGAAAATATCCTTATCCACCACACGCATGTAACTCTGAGTAACATGATAGTCACCGAGCCCATCCGGTCTTTGCTCTACATAAGCAGGAACTCTAATTGCCAATCTACACGCTGAGCTCGGATCCATGCTAAATCAAAACAAAGTGAAACCAAAATCAACTCTAATCTAAATCTGCCACGTTTCTAACGCATCCGTAGGCAAACAAATCGATCGACAAGCAGAGAAGATAGATATCATACCCTTTTGGAAGCCATTTCAATTGAGAAACCCTAGGCGGAGACCCAGGGCACTGCGCGGTCTTCCGAGTTGGGGACGACATCTTCGGGTTACTGATGGGGGACGACATCCTCCTCAACTCCACATGGCGGATGACGCCTTCGGCTCGAGGTATAAGCGGCGGGGCTCAATGGATTGGACGGCGGCGCGGCGACGAACAATGGAGTGAACGGCGACGGCGGGCGAGAAGGGGATGGGGAAGAGAGGGAAGGCGGGAGGGCGTCGATACCCTAATTGCCGGGTCGGGCTGGTTAAATGTGGTCGAACCAGACCAGGTTGCCGTTTTGGCTCGAGGGCACCACATGTCCAAAATGAATATTTCTCTCTCATCTCTTGGCTCAAACCAGGGCGCGGTGTCTTCTGGCAACTCAAAGTGGAAACACAGTGGCCAGCAGCAAATTGGCGCATTTGCGGTGTCCACCAGCCGTCGGTGCTCATTTGGCATGTCCTGTGGCCAATTGTCCCTTAATAATAAGTGTGTTGGACTTGCCTTCCGACAAGACAAGCTTTATTTATTATCACTTTCTGAGAATGTGAATGATATGAGCACTGAGAATGAGAATGTTTTCTCGTCTATGAATGCAACAAATAAACGGAAGAGAGTACATGATGTATCTTCGAAATTATGACACTGTCATTTAGGCCATATTTCGAGGGGGAGAATAGAACGATTGATTAAGAAATCAATTCTTCCGCCTTTAAAATTTTCAGATTTAGAGCAATGCATTGATTGCATAAAAGGAAAGTACGTTAAGAAAATAAAGAAAGATGTCAAACGAAGCGCAGAAAGTTTAGAAATAGTTCACACAGACATCTGTGGTCCTTTTCCTATGAAAAGTGTGGATGGTTATGATTCATTTATAACATTCACAGATAATTATTCTCATTTTGGCTATATTTATCCAATTAAGGAAAGATCGGAAGCATTGGATAAATTTAAGATATTTAAGGCTAAAGTAGAAAATCAGCACAACTTAAAGATTAAGGTAGTAAAGTCCGACCATGGGGGAGAGTACTACGGTCGACACATCCCATATGCCTAAGTTTCTGGACCCTTTGCAAGGTTCTTACAGAAAAATGGCATAGTTGCCCAGTATTCTACACTGGGCGAGCATCAGCAGAATGGAGTAGCTGAAAGATGCAACCGTACCTTAATAGATATGGTAAGAAGCATGATAAGTTACTTTATCCTACCAATAAGTTTATGGATGGAGGTGTTGAAAACCGTCATTCATATTTTTAATCGAGTGCCAAGTAAGTTGATGCCCAAAACACCGTATGAGTTGTGGACTGAAAAGGAACCCTCACTTAACTATTTACGTGTGTGGGGTTGTCCAGCTAAGGCAAAAATCTTTAACCCAAACACAGGGAAGCTAGACTCTAAGACAATCAGCTTCCATTTCATTGGCTATCCAAAAAAAGTCAAAAGGTTACCGCTTCTATTGTCCTGACAGACGAACGAAGTTTGTAGAAACAAAACATGATGTGTTTTTGGAGGATGATATGATCAGGGAGAGCATGGTAGCGCGAGAAATTAATTTTGAAGAGAAGCGGGTATACGTGTCCACTCCAATGGTTTAGGAACCATTCTTCATGCTATCTGTTGTTGCTGTACCAACAGTGCAATACACTATAGTAACATCACCTGTTGTTAGTTCTCCTATGGCAACAATGAATGAACATAAGGAACCTGTCATTCAGGATCTCATAGAACCTATTGTCACACATGAGGAGGAGCAACAACAGCCTCATATAGAACAAGCGTCATCTAACGAGGCCGCTAGAAGGTCTCAAAGAGTCAGGAGATCAGCCATTCCTGATGACTACGAAGTCTATGATTGTGAGGATTTTCAAATGAAGGGTGATCCCACCTCATTTGAAGAAGCCATGAGAAGTGCTCATTCATCAAAGTGGCTTGAAGCCATGGAAGATGAAATAAAATCAATGAAAACCAATGGTGTTTGGGACTTAAAAACAATTCCTAGAGGAGCCAAGACAGTAGACTATAAATTGGTATACAAAACCAAACATGACTCCAAAGCAAATATAGAAAGATTCAAACCGCGACTTGTGGCGAAAGGCTTCACGCAAAGAGAAGGTATATATTATAATGAGACATTTTCTCTAGTCTCATGTAAGGATTCTTTTAGAATCATAATGGCGCTTGTAGCACATTACGATTTAGAATTACGTCAGATGGATGTAAAGACGACGTTCCTAAACAGGGATCTGGAGGAAAATATTTACATGGCACAACCGAAAGGTTTTGTTGTGGAAGAAAAAGAATGTATGGGATGCCGCCTGAAGAAATCCATTTACGGATTAAAACAAGCTTCAAGACAGTGGTATTTGAAGTTTGATAGTACAATAAGAAAGTTTGGGTTTCAAGAAAATGTGGAGGACAATTGTGTTTATGCAAAGTTCAAGAATGGAAAATACATTTTGCTAGTCTTATATGTGGATGACTTTTGCTCGCTAGCAGTGATGTTAATCTACTACTAGAAACAAAGAAGTTCTTGTCCTCGAAGTTTGATATGAAAGATCTCGGTGAAGCTTCTTTCGTCCTAGGAATAGAGATTCATCGAGATAGAGAAAATGAGGTTTTAGGATTATCACAAAAAGCATACTTAGAAAAAGTTCTAAAGAAATACAATATGCAAAATTGTAAGTCTTCACCAGCTCCTATAGTAAAGGGCGATAGATATAGAGAATTTTAATATCCCAGGAACAAATATGAGATCGATCAAATGAAAGCAGTTTCATATAATTCAGCTATCGGAAGTTTACAGTATGCTCAAGTGTGTACTCATCCTAACTTAGCATTTGTTACCGGGTTACTTGGCAGATATCAGAGTAATCTAGGAATAGAACACTGGAAATTAGTAAACAAAGTTTTGCGTTACCTGCAAGGTACGAAGGGTCTCATGCTAACGTACAGAAGATCTGATTCCCTGCATATAGAGGGGTATACAGATTCTGATTATGCGAGAGATGATAGAAAGTCCACGTCATGATACATATTCACTCTTGCAGGAGGAGTATATCGTGGAAAAGCTCAAAGCAAACCGTCACTACATCGTCCACAATGTATGCCGAATTTGTAGCATGTTATGAGGCCACAGGGCAGGTGAATTGGCTGAAGAAATTCATGTCCGGGTTGAAAGTGGTAGACGACATACATAAGCCACTCAAGTTATATTGCGATAATAATCCAGCAGTATGTTATGCTCACAGCAATAAGTCAAGTGATGCTGCCAAACACATTGACATAAAGTATTATGTTGTGAAAGATAAAGTCCGTGATCATATAATTAGTTTTGAGCATATAAGAACAGAAAAGATGCTCGCGGATCCTCTTACAAAAGGATTACCACCCAGCATGTTCAGAGAACACTTAGCCGGTATGGGTTTAAGAGAAAACCTATGATTCCTGGACAATAAGGACCTAGTTGAGAATCTGTTTCAAAATAGAGAGGTGCATTGTAGCTGTTTAATCTAATGACAACTGACTGTGACGATGAGGCACGCTCTATGCACTGATCTACGATGGAATGGGAACAAGATAAAATAAGTAAGTTAAGTTTAAGTCATAAGGTGACATCAAGGGGGACAATATTAGATTGATCTCCACGGCCAATTGGGCCCTTGGATCCGCACCCTGATCGGGGGCGCCCAACCGCTCCATGGTTGGTGGGCACCCGCCGCATAGCGCCATAAAAAGGGAGGTGCGGCTAGGGCACAAGGCACGAGGTTCACCTGAGCCGTCAGACACCCTACCTACATCCTAACCCTAGCCGATCTAGAGAGGGGGCGCTGCCAGCGACGGAAAGCACCGCCACCGGCCACCGCCGCCTCTGCACCGCCGCCACTGCGACCGCGTCTTCACCGCCGGACTTCACCACGTCACCAACAAGCATCGCCATGGCCAGCTCGTCTTCCTCGAAGGCGGCCGATGGTTTGCATCTCCGCACCCTCTCTCTCTCTTTCTCTGTTTCTCGCTTTAGCTTATGTTCTAGGGTTTGCCATATTCTAAATTCAAGTATACACCCGCTAGATCTGCAACTAGGTGATCCTAAACATCTATCAAATACATCTTCTAATATTATGTTTGATTGTTTTTCATTCAAGGGGGTGCTTTACCAACCGGTCAACGTTTGCGACTGCTTCTGGACAATTGGTATTCCTGTTGCAACACTAATATCTGTTCCTTCATGAAGTCTGTGTTACCTGTATGTCATTCACTATTTTGTAATAACTCCTTCAGAGGACGGGAAATCACTGTCTATACTACTGTCAAAGCAAAACAAGAAGGAATGGTGAGCATCTGTGATCAGAGGTGGCCCTGAGCTGGATATCAAGAAGGCGAAGATAATGCCCAGCAGATTATGTGACTTGGATATTGATCCTGAGACAAGACAGGCTCTTCAGAAGTCAAAGGTAAGTCAGTGGAATGCCTAATGCATTGGATTTCCCCCCTACATGAAAACTTCATCGGTGATCTAGTGAACTTTGTCTTTGCATTTCAGTTTGAGCATCATCGGAGGAATATGGGTCTCCCAACAAGATGAAATCCAAATGCAGGACCCTCTCTAGAAGTTTCCCAGGTGATTCCCAGCAACTGAAACGTGCAACTGTTTTAAAACCCAAGGGTTATATTTGGGGGCTTTGTTAGTTTGTATAGCTTGATATATGAATGTTTGATTTCACTGTTCGTTTTTGAACCTGCAGACGGGTTCCTCATGGAGGAAAATGGTTTGAGGATCTTGGATCCAAGAAGTTTCACATCGTCATTTTGCACAGATAGACAATTTCAAATACTGAATAGAAGAAGTCGGCATGCTCTTTCTTCTTTCTTGAAAGTACAGAGACACATACACTAAAGATATTCTTTCGGCTACCATATACTACGCTGTAACTCAGGAGCTTATATTCTGGTAGTCACTAAGTGACTGGCTTGAAAAGCGAGGCTCTGAAATCTTTTTCTCAATGTATTTTGTTCCAGTATTCAGTAGAAGCAGGGGTTGAAATGACGAGGAGGCATTCTGTGATTGTTGGGCATATTATGTAGCGCCTCTTGCAGAGTGGCGACTCTGTTGGACCGTTACACTTCTCTGAAAGAACACTTGTTCCTGAATTCTATTCTGCCAATAGAAAATCTGGTGTTCATAATGTGCTTGGCTTCGTCCATAACTTTTACGTTCACTTGTAATGTAATTTTTCAGTGCTACATGTTCAGGACCAGGAAAGATTTGTTGTTCTATCTCCAAATGCTCAATAGCCTGCAAATTTTATAATAAACACGAAGCTATACAATCTATTGTGGAAAGCTGCGATCACAGACTCTGACAATGTAGAGGATGTCGTAGCGGCAGGTCGATTCGAGGTGGGAGCCAGGGAGTTTCAGTTCTGTTCTTGCCTTCTTGGTCGAAGGTGGCGTGATCCTGACAGAGTTCAGGGCTGCCGCCGGACGGCAGGTCGCACGCATTACTATGCTTTGGTATGGGGATCCATCGACCCTGACTCTGTAGACTGCAAGATTTCAAGCAACAATTGATTCAGCACAGCAGTGGTTCAGGGCCACTGCTTTCTACTCCCTCAAAGATGAATGAATGCTGAATTTCTGATGTCCTATCAACAGTGCTCTATCTGGATTGGGCGCTACCGCCATCAGTTTCAGACCTTCCAAGCAGATGGGCACTGGAATACATGGTCATGAGGACTGAAACATGGTCATCAACACTTGATGCCAAAGTGCCAAACACAGGGTCTGCATCTGCAAGAACGAGGACAGCAAGAATATTGCCGACACGGCTGGAACTACGCATGGAATCTGTTTAGAAATTATGCGGTTGTTCCGCAGAGTGCCAAGCAGACAAATAAATTCTACACAAACAGGAACTGCTTCGACAGCAGTCTTATTTCATTACACGTTGGAACCGAGTGTAAGAGACAAAGTCAGATTGTCAGATGTGCACGGCCGTTTCCGCAGGTAGTAAAACAGGCAGATTCTGCTAATTTACACCGCGGTATGTACCTCTACTATATGAAGTGTAGGAGCAAACATTTCACTTCACTTCACCCAACTATTTCTTCATCTACGCAGGTTACCTATCTTACACATCTTGCCTGCAAACGGGGCATGAGCCATGATCGACAAGCCATTTGTCCACGCAAGGCTGGTGGAAAGTGTGAGAGCAATTGGGCAACCTCCTCGCTGTCTCGCCGGCTACAATGTCCTGCAAGATGAAGGACGCTATTAGGTCGGTGTTGGTGAAAAGAAAAAAAAAAATGCACAAAGCAGGTGCCAGCCACACATTGCATTTAGTAGCAAACAAATTTTGGTATGAAATCGCTAATTGCAGTTGCCCCATTGAGGTTGTTGCATCCCACTAAACTTCATATCAGTGTCACTCCTACCATGCATTCATTGTGTCATTGTCCAACCATTGTGCCTCAACTTGCATTCATGATCTCATTATCGCTCCCAGAATGAGCCCATTTTTCTGGTTGAACAACAATGTATCTCGCTCAGAAATCATTTCGAAGAAAATAGCTTGGAAAATCGCTGATTACTTGTCAATTGCCTGTATCCCGGACGAATTGGTAGTCCATGTGCTAACTAGTGTTTAATGGTTGCGGACAAGTCTATTACTTAATGATTTTTTTTGCCTTAATCATCAGGACAAAGAACTTTACAGAATGCTTCAAACGAGTTTAACAACCACTACACAGACAAATCAAGTACTACTAATAATAGGCTGGGAGCGCGTAGCAACCACCTAACAATCAGTACTCCAGTATCAAGTTAGAAAACAAAACATTAATGGTCACAATGGTTGGCTTTGTTTTTCTTAAAAACATTTCAAATTTATGTTAAGGTGGAAGATCACTGTGACAGGAGCTTACTTTTAACATAGGTGATTTTTTTCTTCTTTTTTGAACCTAAACAGGTGGAAATTTATGTTAAGACGGAAATACGTATGTTGCGTTGGATTTGCGGTCATACAAGAAGGGATCGAGTTCGGAACGATGATATACGTGATAGATTAGGGGTAGCACCAATTGAAGAAAAGCTTGTCCAACACCGGTTGAGATGGTTTGGACATGTCCAACGGAGATCTCCAGAGGCACCGGTGCGTAGTAGAATCCGGAGCCAGGATAGTAACGTGAAGAGAGGCAGAGGAAGACCGAAGTTGACTTGGGTAGAGGCAATAAAAGGAGACTTAAAATGATGAAATATACTCAAAGACTTAGCTTTAGATAGGAGTGCTTGGAAGACAGCTATTCATGTGCCTGAATCTTGATTGCTTCTGCTGGGTTTCAACTTTAGCCTATCCCAACTTATTTGGGATTTAAAGGCTTTGTTGTTGTTGTTGTTGTTATTGTTTTGAACGTAAACCTGGTGTTTATATTAATTAAGGTGGGATTTATATTTAATTATAAAGGTGGGGTGCTTATAAGGGAAAGAAAATTGCAAAAGCTGTAGGTATTTTCTCTCTCTTATTACTGCTGTACTTTTAACCAAATCAAAGTGCATATTGTGGTAGAAGGTTTCTTTAACAGTTAGTAGTATTGCGCTTCCATAATTTGTACCTGTAGACAGATAGAGCAAGACAGGATTTCGCCGAATGAGTCCCGCATTTGGTCAGTGACCACATAACGTGGTAGTTTCTTCAGTGACTCTTGTGAGAGCCCTTTAGATGAAATGTCTCCAAAGATGTCATATAGGTCATCGTGACCAAAATCTGATATGCTGACCTGTCAATGAAAAGTATCTAAAATTTAGTAGAAGTAGAAACACACAGACAACCCATTAACTGTGGACCTTTTTCTGCAGCATTACCATTCAATTTCTTTATAACAATAAAAAAACTATGATCTCTCCATTTTGTGGCAAACACAGTGATGAGAATCCATTGTCATATTTTCTGTAGCTTTGTGCTGTCAAAAATCATACTCCGGTGCTACTGTGTACTGACCTGCCAGCGATATGATGCATATCCTGAAGTCGTAAATTGCTCTTGCACAAACCGGCCACGAAGAAGCTGCTCAATGAAATCAGCCTGCACACCAAACCATGCATGTTTGTTATAGAGAACGCTTCTATAAAATTACTAACAATTACCGTGGTAAACTCATATTTATGATAGACCTCAAACGACCAAGTAATAGTGCAAGTGGAATATTTTTCTAGATTGCAATAGTGCAAGTCAAATTAGGTTTATGAGGTTGTTTTCTCTGTTATAAAAGAGAAGCCTTTTTTTATGAAACAAAAGGGAACCTTATGAAGTACTAGACAGTACTAACAGTCACTATCTCACACATACTGACATACTCCTACAAGATAACGTCCAAGAGATTTCAGAGAATCAGATGGGATATTTACGTTCACACCTAAAGTCCAACGGTCCAAGCAAGAATTGTAATTTAAATCGACAATCAAGTTCTCAATTTACAAGAATACGCAACTGAAAGCAAACAACTGAAGACGCAAAGACAGGGCATGGAAGAAGCTTACTACCATGGACGATGCGCCGTGCGAGCCCAGCCGGTCGGAGCACCAATAAGCGCGAGAAGCCTCAAGAACCTCAATGGAGAGGACAGCGCCGGCGACCGCTCCCAATCCAGCTCCCCGCAGAACGCCGCCGCTGTCGGAAGCTCTGCCCGCCACCGCGCCGGTGACTGCCCCAGTCAGAGCTCCAGCTTTACACGCGGCACATGCACCACAAAGCCAACGTCGAGCTCTCAGGACAGCTAACAGGGGCAAGATCGAGGCGCGAGGAGCATGTGCAAGTGCAAGTACCGAGAGCGAAGAGGCCAGTGAGGGCGCCGGAGACGACGCCGGCGAGCAGCCTCGGGAGGTGCAGCGCCACGCCGCGTTCGTCCAGCGCGTCCTCGTCGGGCGCAGGCGCGAGCGCCTCGGCGACCTCCATCGTCGTCGCGGCGAGGCCTCCCCGAAGACGAGGTGGCGAGCAATGTGACAAGCTACCGGCGTTTATTTTTGGCGCCCTGGTTGGTGTGGCGGGGAAGGGGAGGGTAGCTGAAGGCGAGAGGCTCTCCGGGAGAGGAGGGTGAAAGGGCAAAAGGCTTTGTTTTCAGCGGGCGGCTTGTGAAATCATATTTGTTCGGTCGCTTTCTCTTTGACGTTAGCGTGGCTTTTCATTGGCTCCTTTTGTACCTCAAAGGTTGGTGTTTGGTTTGAGGTTTTTGCACGGAAGGATGATAATATGAACATGAACATAGGAGTAGTATTTTAGATCCTTTGCCGATATCTTTTCCACCTCGTGCAATGATTATTGGTTCTATTTTAGAACTTCTATACTTTTTCTTTTGCGACTGATTAATGGTTTTGTACTTAGGGACAACATTATGAGTAACACGAAACGATGGTAAACTCTACTTGCGTCCCCTCTTAAATGATTGAGCCGTGTTTCTGTTATCTTTTTTTTTCCTTCATGAGTCCTATACTTGAATTTATCAGCCTGATTATTAGCTATAATACAATATTTTTCTCTCACAACAATTCAGCCGACTTATCAGCCGCAGAACTATTTGCATCAAAGCGTGCGCATGAGTGTATATCTGTCTTATCTCTGAAAACAACAACATGACGATGAAACAACACAAACCAAATAAGATTTTTCATATTGGTTACAATAAGTAATAAGCAAGACTACAAGCAATGGGCAGACACATTCGCGTGGTGGTCGGGCACCCGAGGTGCGAAGCTCTCCGCCAGGGTTCGATCCTCTAGTGATGCATGGTTGTGCGTCCACCTCCCTTGGTTGAAACAGCGCAGATGGTTCCGCGGCCGCCAAAGAAGCGTGCGCACGTGTGATGTTCCTACCTGTTTCCGGGTTTGGTGGGGGCTTCTTTAAGATTAAAGTCAAGGTGACGTCTCGACCCTTGATCAAGTCTTTTTAGACTACAAAGCAATGGTAATAAGGATAAAAATAATGACGAGAACCACTACCCGCGTGTGACAGAATTGTCTAATCTAATATCCTTCCTAGAGTATTTGTTTTTCATTAGACATAAAGTACTCAAGAGAGTGCACAAAATCATGCTGTTTCGTCGAGCACACCCTAAGGAGAACTCAAAATCCATATTTTTTCATTAGGATCATAAATGATAGAATAAAGCTTACAACATTCTTAAGTCATTTCTTACATCACTATATTACAGTAACATAATATTACCTCAATTGATTATAACAGTAGAATATAACAATGTTATCAGAGTTATAGAGGAAACAAAGATTAATTTAATGACACGGTGGAGTATTAATATAGTGAACATTTATATACGAGAGATGATAGTAAATTTTATCTTTTCTTATAAAAACATTTAGTGAGGGTTATAAATAAATACTACGGTCGTATCGTGAAAGAAATCATCTCTGAACCCACCATAAGGTTTCCACACACAAGAATCAGCTCTATGTATCCTCCGATCACCTGCAACAGGAGAAATAAAACCCTGAATACTCGATTGTACTAAGCAAGACTTACCCGACAGGAGAAAAATAAAAGACTATAAGAATATGTAAGGCTAATTTGGCTTGTGGATTATTGCATCTACGGAAGCATTACTAAACGTGCATCCTTATATTAAATTTTATTAGCAGTCATCATTAGTTCATTAACTATCTATTCTATGTAAGCACATATGCTACTTTTAAGCAGGTGGTGAGCAATCAGAACCATTTTATCATCTTTAATATTTTAGTTCTTACTACGGTTCTAGACCATAGCCAAGTCGGTACCGTCTCACAGAAACGACGATTCGTGAATCAATGTATCCCAGCTGGGTACCCCGAAACACATGCCCCGTTTGTACCCCAGGCACAAACAAGACCAACCCATTCCACTCCTGTCATGGGATCCAGGTCCCCGTCCAAACTTGAACTCCAAGCCCCCACACTTAAGATCTAGTCTCGATATGGTGCTTAGACCTCCACCTTTCCCCGTCTCCAATCAGTCGGTTCGAAAAGAGCCGAAACCCGCGACAAGAGCGTAACGAGCCTTTCCGCTTCCATAAGCAAGTATGTGCTCAGGATAATAAGTCTATGACCTAACTACCATCCACAGCAACGGACGATCCTCAATCGACACAGGTGGAACAAATACAATCCGAGACTCGCTCGAATGCCTAACTAAGTCCAGATCCAAAGTAACTTTCCACCCGATCTCTAATTATCATCCATATATATTCCATGTGATAGTAGTATAATAACACAATAATATATTTTCTATCTCTCACGAGTGACAGGTAATCACTCGACTTCTACTAAATCCTATAGCATAGCCATCTACATGATTCTAACATACTAGTAGGACTCATAGGATAAGGATATATATATGCAAGTGGTTTTCATTCAACTCCTTAAAACTTAATACACAAGCATAAATTAAAGTGCAGAATAATATGGGTTATACACCGGGCTTGCCTGAGTAAGATATAACCAAAAGTTAGCATCCCATCATGGTGACACAATCATTAGGCACCACCTTTTCCGTTACTTCGGTCGATTCCACGATCCATCGTTTCCTATTATGATGTTCGCATATGCAACACATAAACATAATTAACCAACGACAACCGTAATTCTAAAAATACGACTACGCCTCGCAAGCTAGCGGGCTAACTCTAATGACTAACGTACTAGGTTACGTATCCATGTCGTCAATTAAGACCTTATTTTTAGAAAATGTTTTAGTTCTACAACCCTAAGGTGCTTTGGTATTCTATTGATTAAATATATATTAGAACTAGGGTTCATTTAGCTACCTTAGCAAACTAATTATTATAAATATACAAAAATTACAGTAAGCAACTAATAATGTTAGAAATTTATTATGAAAGTTTTAGAGCCAACACCATCACCAATTTATCATAATAATTCCTACAAGTTTGCGTCTTAACCATATTAAGCATCTTGAATTAATTAAATAGCTCATGAAAATACTATGACACTATGTGAACAAGATATGCTGGCAGATAGAGCATGATTTTAGGAACCTAACAAAATTAGTTTCATAATTTTTGGTTAACTATACAATTTTATATTGAATTTACAAGTTTATCTTAGAAACTAAATTAGAAAATGCTTAGAAAAGAAAAATGACCGGTGGCGACCATTCGGCCCAGCAACCCATCGTGGGTGCGGTTGCGCGCGTGTCGCGATGGCCCAACGCGAGGCGTGGCCGCGCGCAACAGCTGGCCCAGCAACGGCCCAAGGCGGGGGAGCCCGCGCGCGCGACCGTTTTTGCAAAGGAGGGCTTGTGCTCTTTGGAAATCAAACGACGCAGTGAGGTACTGTTTCTCTAGACTAGGTCTTTGCACAAAACACCTTAGAAAGAGCTGCCTTCAAAACGGGCCGGTTCCCGGCGTTCCCGCGCGCGGTGACTCGGCGCACCGACGGCTGCACCGGTCACACTAGACTTATTACGATAGCAACCACGAACCGACCACTACCTATGGCTAAAACCTCAGGGGTAGGCGGCGGTTAGAGGCTCAGTGGTGAGCGGCTAATCGTGATGGCGGCGCGTCCGTCCCGACGACCTACGACGCCATCGGAGGGAAAGGGTTAGCGAATAAGCACCAGTAGCTCACCGAGATTCGAGCTGCGGTGGCGGTTGAGGCGGAGGGGTGCTGAGATGGCCTAGCCACGTGCGACCGATTTGAGCGTGGCACCGGTGCGTCACTGCACCGATGGGGAGCTTCCTGGCCAAAACTGTGCGAGCACCAGAGGGCGTGAGTCAAGGCGAGTTTAGAGCCACAAGAAATTGAACTATTACCGCTCTAATCCTACCTCTCTCCCTAGTCCAAGGTCACAGCGGTGAACATGGCCCATGATGAGCTAATCATCGAATTGTCACGGCGTAGGACTCTACCGTGGCTAGATACGGTTGAGGCGGATAGCTATCTCTCCCTGCTACTTACTGACGTGAAGAGATGGGTTGCGAAACCATGGGCTAGGCAAATTTGAAAGGTGGGGCGCGGTGCCCAGGCTGAGACCACGTCGTGGGGAAAAGCATGCGGATGAGCTCGAGCGGTAGGGCGTGTTAAAGCGGGGCTCCGGTCGGCGGTGGCAAAGCGAGCTCATGCACACAGGTGACGAGACCAGGCGGCTTGGCGGACGTTCATAGCAACAAGCGGCAGGACCCAAGCGAGATCGCCTGTGTCGGCTAGCGGGCAAAACAGGGCAGGGAAGCATCCCATCACCGCTGCGTCTGGCCCTCGACTCGTCACGACGGCAAGGTTCCAGCTTAAGGACTAGGCGGGGTAGGTAGGATGAGGGGCGGGGCGAGCACCACGTCGATCGCGCGATGCGGCCAAGAACCACAGACGCACGGCCAATGACCCCGTATGTCGCGCCCAGCGACGCGTGTGCAGCAGAACCACCGACCGCCTCCTACTAGGACCGACCGTCGCCCGGGGCAAGGCCGCACGGCGTCAACCAGCCGCAAGCTGGCTTGCGGTAGTGGCCCGGCCACATATGGAACTCGGGCAGCAGCAGCGCTCATGCTCGGATGGTGACCCGTGCCCACGGGACCAAAGGTGCTAAGCACGGTTTTTAAAGCGAGCCAAAAACTACTAACGACCGGATGAAGTTCAACTAATTTCCCTATCCTACCGCCAGCAGTGCCAACTATCTGGTGAAGCAATCACCAAGAGCAAGGAGCAACTAGAGGAGAAGATAGATGTCTGCCAATATGGGCTCGTCACTCTGAACGACGGTTCATGAATGGAGTGCCAACGACATGATTCGGACATGTTTTAACGAAGTTAGAGCAAATTTACAAGGGTATCGTAACACCCAAGACCACTACCACCTAAGCCATGCTCAAGTGCACACTCAGGGACAACCAACGGTACAAGGACATGAAGTTGGTGCCTAACAATTTTTGTTAGAATTTGGATGTCAAAA